GCAAAAGCTTAGCAAATTTATATATAATAAAAAAAATCCCGTATTTTATATTATTAGCTTTATGCATTTAATTAAATAATATAAAAACGTTAAAATAAAAATAAATTAATAATAGCAAATTATAATATTTATTAATAGCTATAAAAAAATGCCTATATATAAATAAAAGGTATTAACGCTATTTTTTTATATATAAAAATAATTATAATAAAGCTTAGTTTAAATTTTATCGACGAGTATAAAAGCAAAATCGGGAGCAAAAAAAGGCGCCGTAATAATAATAATAATAACGGTAATAGCAATAAAAATGCTAACTCCTATAATATTAATAATAATAATAATAATAACGGTAAAAATAACGGTAAAGGCAATAAAAAAAAGCGTAAGCCCAGATTTAATAAGGAAAAAAGCCTTTTTTGCTATAATTATAATAAATATAAGCATATCGCCAAAAATTATCTTAAGCTAAAAAAAAACAAAAAAATAATAACGCGAATAATATAACGTTAAAAAAATTATAAAATAATAATAAATTAATCCCGGGATTAAAGGATTATAATAAAAAATCCGGTTATAATATAGCCGTTATCGTAAAACGAAATAATATATAAATTTAAATATAAATATAATAGGAATATAATTAATTTTTAATTAATAAAAACTCGTAATTAAAAAATAATAATTCCCTTTAGCCGCTTAATAATAACGTTAAAAATATTATAATATTACTTATTATTTTTAATAATAATATAAGCGTAATTTATAATTTTTTGCCTAGCTTTTTAATTTCCTTTTTCGATTTTAGCATTTATATAAATTTAATATATTATATAAAAGGTATTAAACGCCTATTATTATTTAATATTAAATTAAATATTAATATTATTTTTAACGCAAATAATTTTAAAAAAAAGCATTATAATAAATTTTATACGGAAGAAATTTAGGGTTAATATAAATAAAAGATTAATTTATATTTAATAAATCGGATTTAGCAAAAAATTTCTAATAAAAAAAATAAAAGGTAATCGTAAATATATTAAAAACTTTTTATATTAAAGATTTTTCCGTAAAAATTATATTAAGCGAACGTTAATATTTAACGGAAAATTTTATTTATAAAAATAGCCTAATAAATAAAAATAATAAAATAATAATTTTTTTTAATATTTTTAAACGTAGCTTTTATTTATAACGGTTCGGAAAATTAAAATTTTAAATACGTTTAATAATAGCGCTAATTAATTCGTAATAAAACTTTTAACGGTATAAAGCGCCTAAAATCGGTAATAATAAAATTAAAAAACTAATTAAAATAATATTTAAAATTAATAATATATTTAACGATATTAAATTAATAAAGCGCTTAATTTAATAGCTTATTTTTTAATATCGCCGTTTATATTATTTAAGCGCCGAAAAGCTGCGATAAATTATTTAACAAACGACTAAAATCGGTTTTAAAGCTAGGTAAATAACGTAATTACTTTATTTAGCATATAATTAGGCGAAAACGTTAAAAACGCCTTTTTAATAACCGTAAAAAGAATTAACGCGGTAAATAAAATTATTTAATATAATTTCGGATTAATTAAGCCGGTAATTATTAAAAATAAAAGTTATTTTAGCTTAATTATAAATAATAAAAATAAAAAAAACATTTATATTTTATCGAACTAAAAATAAAATATAATTTATATTATTTGCTTACGTTAATAAAATTTTAGCGCGCTTATAAATATAAGCTTTAAATATAAACGGATTACGGGTTAAATTAAAGATTATTAAAATTAATAAAGGAAAAAGTTTGCGTTTAAGGAATTTACGAAAAAATGCGATATTAAAAAAATTAAAAAAATTTTATCGTTTATATATAATTAATATTAAAACGGTATTACCGAAAAAGGGATTAAATTCTTTTAAAATAAGGCAAAAGCTATAATTATTTAAATAAAAATTCCTATTTATTTTTAAAATTACGTTTTTTTAATAATATGCTATATAATTAATCGTATAAGCTAATTTATAATTAAAAATTTTACCTTTTATAAAATATATTAAAATAAAATAAAGCTTATAAAAAAACGCGTTTATATTAACCTAATAATTTAAAATTATTAATTTTTAACAGCCGTTATATAGCGTATATCGATCGGAACGAAAAAACGCATAATAAAAAGCTATATTTAAACGGGGTAAAAGCTTTATTTTTTAATTATTAAAAAAATAATAACTATATAATATAATTAATTAAAAATAATCGTATTTTAATTATTTTATACGTTATTTTTTATAAATATTTAAAAGACGTAAAAAGCGCGCCTAATCCGGCTAACGTAATAAAATCCTTGTTATAATATATATAGCAACGATTACGGCATAAACTTAAACTTATAAAAGGCTAGGTCCGGGATTTTAATTATAACGTTATTTTTAAAAATATTACCGATTTTAAAAACGGCCTTATTAAATAAAAACGCGGCTGCTTTAAAAAAAAAACCGACGTATATTAAGCTTAAATATTTAAAGCCCTTAAAAATAACGATTTTATTTATTATACCTTTTAGCAAAAGGGTAAATTTTTAATTTTTTTTTTCGATTAGCGTAGTAAATTTCGCAAATTAATAAAATATACGTTTGCGTTTTTTTTTTAAAAAAGCGTATAAAATTAATAAAATTAACGAATTTAACCTTTACGATTTTTCGGCTAATAAATTTCGCAAATTAAGCTTTAGCTTTAGCCGTATTAAAAAAAGCGATAGCGATAACGGTAAAAATAAAAATAAGCGCTCCCGTTTTTAAAATTTTTTTACGGCGGCGAATTTTAATAAAAGCGAAAATTAGCTATTTAGCTTTATAGCTATATATAAAAAAACGAGCTATACGAAATATTAAAAATAAATTTATTAAAAGATTTTATATTTAAAAAAGCTATAATTAAGCTAAAAAAATTAATAATAAAAGGCGATTTATTAAAAATTTTTAAAAATATATAAAAAAATACTTTTTAATTTATATAAAAAAATAAAGCCGATTATAATTATTTTATTAATAATAAATAAATGCTAAAAAAATTTAATAATAACGGCACGCTTAAAAAATATAAAGCGCGTATTATAACGCGTAAATTTATATAACGCCTAAATATTAATTATAGCGAAATAATCGCAATTATAATAAAAGCCGCTTTATAAAAAATATTAATAGCTTTTACTGCTTTAAAAAGCTAGTTTATTTTATAAATTAATTTTATATTTATATTTTTTAATAATAATTTATATAAAAAAATTTATATAAAATAATTTTTCGGTTTATTATAATTTTTCGAATAATCTACAAAGCTAGCGCGTAAAAAAGGCTATTTAAAAAAAATTATCCGGATTTTAAACCCGTTATATAGGCTAAAGTAAATAGTTATTAAATAATAACGTAAGGCGAAATCGCTAATAAAAAAGCATAAATTTATTTTTTTTATATTTAATAACGCGGTATTTTATAATTTATAAATTAAGGATATTATAGCAATATATATAAATAATTTTTTATTATTTAGGCTAAATAAAAAGCGTTTTAAAAATTTCGTCGGTTTATTTAAAATTAAAATCGAGCTAAAAAATTTAGGAAATATAAAATAATTCCTCGGTATAAAAATCCGGCGTAATAATCCTATTAAAAATATTAAAATTAACGTCGAATAATATTTTAATAAAATATTTAATTTTTATAATTTTATAAAATTTAAAAAAAAAGTAATAAACCCGATAAATCTGGAAATATTATACGAAATTTATTTAAACGAAAATAAGGCTATAATTAAAAAAATTTATAATTATACGTTAATAATTAGCAAATTTAATTTTTCGTTTTATATATTAAAAGTAAATACGGCATTTATAATATTTATATAGGCTAGATTTATAGCAAATCTTTTATAAGCATATTAGCAAAAATTAAAAAAATGCTACGATATTTAAAAACGAATATTAAAAAAGCGATTAAATATTATAGCTTAAAAATAAATAAAATTATATATTTATATAAATAATATAATAAATTAAAACTATTTAGGGTTATAAATTTTAGCTACGTTTTAAATTTAAAAAAATTAAAATTAATTACCGGCTATATATTTTTTATAAATAAAAAATTAATTTTATAGCGATTATATAAATAATTATTTATAACGAAAGCATTTATAATAATAAAATATATAGCTATTTTAAAGGCTATAAATAAAATTATATAAATTCGAAATTTTTTAATTAAATTTAAATTAATGCCGAAAAATCCGATTACGCTATTTAAAAATAATATTAAGGCTAAAAAATAAGCCGAATTTATAAATATAATAAAAAAAAAGCATTTAAAGCTATATATATACGCTATTCGTAATAAAGTTATAAAAGGCAAAATTAAAATAAAATAAGCACTAATAAACCTAAATTTAGCCGACGGATTTACGAAGCTATTTAATAAAAATAAATATTAAAGGTTTATTAATTTATTAAGCCTAAAAATCTACGAATAATTTTAGCGGCTTAGCGAAAAAGCGTATTAACGAAAGGCGCTAAGGCCTATTAATACCTATAATTAATAAAAAATTATAAAAAAATCTAAAAACGGCTATAACCGGGTGCCTACGGCTTTATTATTATAAATAGCTATATAAATAGGAAATTAGCAGTTTTTAAGCTTATAAATAGTTATTATATCGCATCCTTTAATTAATTCCCTTTCTGCCATCGTTTATGCAATTCTGCAATCTCGTGAACCTCGTAAAATTATTTATACTTTATTTATAAATAAAAGAGATTCTTAAATTAATTACTAACACAATAATTATTTACATAAAAACCTTTCATAATATTTATTTTTTATTTTTATTAATTCCTTTGATCTCCACAGCGGAGGTAATGTACGGTAGCTATACACGTCATCAGCATGGTGCAATGGAGGCGATCCCCAATTTTGAATACATTTTCCATCAAAAGCCAGCTTCCTTAGACTATGGTGAATACGACGTCTTGATCCTTGGCGTCCGTCGTTGCTAGCGCTTCGCCATACATGATTCCGTTCATATAGCACTCCCCGACAAGTGAGTACCTGCCATCAGCCAACTTCCTCAGTACGAACGGTACATCAGCTCCATACAAGATACAGACGAGGTCACCCTTTTGAGCCCTGAAGGGAACATAGCCTATCAGCCCCATATCTGTCCCTGCGAATCGCCGCGATTTGGTCATGGATAGGAATATTGGGAGGATTCCGTCGACTCCATAACCACGTTCGGTCAGGTACCATCTAGGGACGAGAGGTCCTTGCAGGGTCAGGCGCACAAGCGACCAAATCCGTTCAATGTCGTATTCATCACCAGCTGTACCACCGGATCTTGGGTCGCCGATTAAAGTTTGCAAAAACGGTCGCCAGCTGGGGGGCGTACGGAATTCGTCGCCACGTTGTTCAGCAACTCTTGTAAGGGCCATGATTCCTTCAGTATCATGAAAAGGGCCATGTCCTTGGGTCTGCCTTCTCATTGCTGCGACCCAGATGTCCACCGCCTCTTTGATCATGTCCTTGTTGATTTGTAGCCGATTATACCACTCACGTCGAAGCTTGAGGGGACCGCCGTAGCCCTTGTGAGAAAAATCCTCATTTGGCAAATCTGCAGACTTTTGTCCAACTGTATGCAGTGCATCGACTATCAATCCCTTGAGATGTAGCACAGTCTCTTGATCAGATGTCCATGCCTGTACAGACGAGCCTGCACTGGCATCGTATCGCTCAGGGACGTCGGAGTGGGCTTTATCATAGGCACTGGCGTCCTGTCGATCACTTATGATTCTCCCAGTCAGGAGATAATGACTGTCAAGTCTGGTAAAGTCTGGGACCCAAGATGGAGACCTATCCTGGCTGCCAGCCTTGTCTGAGCTGCTTCCAAGAACCCGAAGGCTTCCATTGTGAATGATTTCCCAGAGCACAAATCTCCGAAACACATCCATTGCTGACATGGAGTATCCATATCTTGGGTCTATGTACTCGCTTCGTATGTTCTGACCGGTTACACCAAGCATGCCAAAGACTTTGTCGCGAGGGTCTGTGCACATGAACGAGCGGCTCTCTAGGATCAAGTCCAGGAGCTTGGGGTCGCATTGGGCATCATGATGTGTTGGTGCACCTTCTCTGCGATGGGGGTATGGCCAAAAATTGGGCATCGCAATCTTGGGGTGGCGAACCTGTCGCGCTGACTTTACTAGTAGCACACCATTGACGGCATCTTCCACCAACTTGTAGTTAGGAATCGGCTTGACCTGAGCATTGTACCGACCCATGGCTATCACAAATCTCTGGAGTTGTGCCCAAGGGATGGACTGGTCGCCACAGATGACCTGGCCATGTTGTGGTAGGACGGTCTCTTGGAAAACCCAGGTGCGCCGAAACCAAGGGCGGAGGAGCAGGTGGACGATCTGCTCCCAATCTTTCTCCTCCATGTTGATGGGATTCTTCAATCTGAAGAGAGTATCTTTGGCAGGTTCCGAGTTACCAAAGTAAGTGAACATGAATACACGATCGAGCCGGCGAATGAACTGCATTGCCCCTTCAACAGAGGTGTCCGACTTGCCGAGGTAGATGAGTACTTGACGGGCTCGAGAGTAAATGTCCCCCATTAGTTTAACCTGCTGGCCCTTTTCAGCTTCGTCGGCCTGGTTGATGCAGAGACCGTCTACCCAGAGCCGTCGACGACGTGTTGGGTGCCGCAAGTCTGACAAGGCATCGTGAAGGCTAGCATGTACCTCCATGACACGTCCAGAGCAGGTCAATCCCCGAGTAATTGTGGCATCTCCCCAGGCGTACGACAAAGCTTCGTATCTGATTCCCCAGGATATATCAACGTTGACTAAATAGCATCGTATCTCGTCCCCAGGAACTCCTGGCTCGAGGATGAGAAGTCGAATCTCGTTGTCTTGGGTAATTGGTTGGTATGGAGCATCATCAGCGGCAATTCGAGACGAGAGAACATCTGGCGGAATCGCGCAGAAGACAGTCCGGTCGACAACGTTGTCAAAGATACCGTGATCCCTGAGTGGCTCATAGGCATAGTTCGCGGCAAGGTGAGCAGCACCAGCGAGACAGAAGTAAATTTTGAGCCATTTCAACAACAAAGTCCATCTTGACTGTCGGACCTCACTCCGATTAGATCTGTTTGTGTAAGAGTGACGAGGTTGTTGATTTTGCTAATGTAGTGATAGACGTACGTAGCAGCGATGTGAAGCGTCAATGACTCTATGATGGCCTTTTTCAGGCGCTCGATCTCATGCGGCTCTTGATCATTAGATCCGTTTGTATGCGAAAGGCGGGCTTGCTGATTTGGCTTGGGTAGTGTTTGTGGCCTCACAACAGAGGCTCGCGGGCCGATGCCTCGCAGGAACCGTATTCTATGTCTGAGCATCGCTTTCTCCTTTATATCGAGGGCCACAATATTCACCAAAATGCTTCAGATCGTATAGAATAGATTAGAGAAATGTTCTAGAGAAATCAATCTTATTGAAGCGTGGAGTTCTTACGGTATTTCATGCACCCTAAGTAAAGCGAAATCAAGACCCATGCATGAAAGCTGAAGTGAAGCAAGTTTCCTTTACCACAAGTTTGCCTTGATGGTTGGGTAAAAGATTTGTTTAGCTGCAGCGAGGTCCACGTGTCGATAGACGGTCCATCCAACCAAATACACAGCTGCCAAGTTGCTCTCCACTTGCAACTCTCATATCATTTTTCAGCTGCGGTGCTTCTATCTCGCTTATGCTTGGATTGTCCTTGATGTCACACTTATCGAGGTCGCCATGGGTCTTGGCTTCTCCCATACTTTGCGCCATCGAGCAGAAACTCAATAACCGAAACCAGGCACAAACCGGAACTCACTTCAGGATTTGATTATTGCAAATACTCCGTAGGCCGTCCGAGTAAAGTCGAGCAATAGTTGACGTGCAAGGCAGGCAAACGGTCCGTTCCGCGTCGTTGCTAGGGTGCTGCGCCATTAGTGCAATCCGCCCATCCACCTGAATTTGTACCGACACGCTTCATAAATTGCATGCGTAAAAGTGCATTACTCATGAATCCAGCTTTATGGCTGTGCCAATCAAAAGTTCACCGTATCAATTCCTTTAGAATAATACCTGGTGAGCCATCCGGGAGTTAAATGAGACGCAGAAATAAACCAGGGAAAAATCACCGACTTCACCATAAAGAGACCGGGTTAAATATAAACTTGTCTACTTGTAGCGTCTATCCTGTATCATTGCCGGGTACTGATGCTGTATCGACTGTACTCGTCTCAACTTTTAATATAATATCTTGGAGTTTTCATCCTGTTCCTGTGACCCGACACATTCTACCGATCCTCGAGACCGAGTTATGGTATCACCAACTTCTATGTCTTGGCTCTTGTTTGATCTGCACCATGTCTAAGCCCCATTCTTATCTCCATTTGGTGTTTTTTTCAGCGACTGGCCCCGTGTCTAATCCATTGCCATCCTCGTAATCATCAAAAGCCCCAATGATATCCAACTTGATGTCTCCGGCTTTGCAAGCAGCGACAATTTCTTTCGGCACGCCATGGTCGCCTTCGACGACCACGACTGTTTTCAGCTTCTTGTTTGTGTGCTGCGCCATTTGCAGTGTGTATTCGAACAGCTCGGTGACTTCCTCATCTGTGCCGAGCTGGTGTGTAAAGTGTAGGGTCTCGAGCTCGGGCGCAAGTCCTGCCGAGTGAAGCCTCGGTTTCTTGGACGACTTGCCAAACAACTGGTAGTCCCAATTCAAATGAAGGGTTTTGAGCACCTCGAAATTCCTCATCCTTGCAGGTTTCCTGCCTGTCAAGGTCGGGTGGTCGATGATTATGCTCTCCATGGAGTGTGCCTGGGATTTGAGAGCCATGATGTAGTCGCTCATATTGTCGGAGCTCTCTTCTAGTTCAGGCATTGGCTCCTCGAGCTGAGTCATTACAAATTCTTTTAGTCCTTTGGGAAATTCGAGGACATCCGACAAACCATCGTCGCTGATGTCGCACTCGATGAGATGCAGGATATGCAGCGATGTTTCGTGTGGTTTCTCGATAAAGTCAAAACCCCGATAGTCCAGCTTGGCGCGGCGAATGGTGAGAGCTTCCAGCGTTGGATGCGCAAAGATGTGAATGTTTTCGCGCAGGTCCCAGTAGGCGTCGTCCGGACACTGGTAGAAGAGCGTGCATGACTTGAGGCAGGCTAGGTCAAAAGGCCCATTGAACAATGCCCCAATTCCATGGAGAAGCGTTACTGGGACGGAGATTTCAAGCTTCTCGAGGTTGCTCATGGTGCTGATGGTCCTGGAAAGCGCCTCAAAATTGGCCGGATGGTAGTGCGAGCCATGGATGTGCCCGTCGAGTCTGAGATGCGACAGCTCATGTGTGGGGTACTCGAGGCTGACATCTTGGATCGCAGAACCGCGGCGCATGCGGCGGCTCAAGGACTGACTAAAGACGAGGTGCTGCTCTGGGTTCTTGAACTGAAGCTTCTTGTAGAGAATCTCGTCGGCCAGTTCGTGCCACAGCTTATTGACCAAGGACACGGCACAGAGATCCCGGCGCGAGATGAGGGCTACAGACTCAAAAATGTGGCGCAATAACTCATCTGGTAGGCTGGCCAGCTTGGGCTCCAGCTGGGCCCTGGCGACAGAGGAAGCTCTAGCAGTAGAGGATCGCGAAGGCCCTTGACGATGACGATGCCTTCGAGTAGTTGGACCGGCACCAGCTTGCGGGTCGGCTGCTCCACCGAGCATCGAATCGCGCGACATGCTTGGGAGGGGTCCCACGATCGGTTCGCTGGTTGTTTGTGTGTGGACCCAACAGGAAAGTGGCACTTGTGCCGGGCCCAGACGGAAGGGAATAAGATGCGGCTGATTGATGAGACGGACCCGTCAAAAGCGGCGGCGGTGATAGGTGGTCACAGATAGCGCTAGCCGGAAACAGCAACAAGATGACAGGTTCTTGCGGCTGCCGCGTGCGGTACCTTGAGTCAAATGTGAGTCGTGAGATAGAGTATTTGAGAAGGAAAAGAAGTGGAACGATTTCAGAAGAGACACTGGAGTGATACTATTCATCAATATTGGGGGGAAAGATGAGAGAAATTGGCTGTTGGGGGATTAAGTTCTGTTCTTTCGCGCCTCTCTCCGCTAGTCGCACCCTTTGGCAGGATGGCGCCGCACCCACAAAAGCTTGAGGGGTGGAAGGAAAGATGCGAGACACTGTTGATAAGCTTTGCCTCCTGTCGAGAATTTACCCACGATAATTTCGCGCGCAAGTTGTCAAACTTAATTCGAAAAAGATGATTAACAGAGACTCAAACCATGGACGGCTCTGTAGTTGCAAAGATTTGGATATTTGGCAATGGAGAGAATGGTCCTGGTCGACCAGTGACTTTTTGGGTATTCCCATCAATCGACACGTCTTACGACCATGACATGACATTTCCCTAGAGTGCCAATGACATACGGCTCGCGCTCGAAACATAGCACTATCTAGTCACAACCGCAGTCAAGTCATTGCAAATGGGCAGATGATCAAGATGTATATTCGGCTCATGTGAACGGAAATCTTGGTGGACTGCACTTGAATTGAACAAAAGCTGCCATGATACAAGAATTGCTGGCTATTACAAGTTTCCTAAATGAACATGTATCCCCTCCTAAAAAGCATGGCCTCCATAGGGAAAGCAGGCGACGCAGAGTGACGGGGGACAGTATCCTTCTTCCATCCGATATAGACGAGTTAACCCATGGAAGAAGAGGGTTGATCGCATATGCTAAGATGGGGGCGTGATGCAGGTTGGCGGTTTGATTGGTTCACAGCACATGGCGACCATACTTACTCAATAGGCAGGAAATTGTCAATGGTTGCCAAATAAGATTCTGATGTATTTGCGTCCTCGCTGGTCTCAGAATTTCTGCGGCGATGCGTACTGCCCTTGACCTGTATGCATGAACTCTGCAGAGTTGTGCCAGGTGGATGAACTCCAAAACGCCATGATCCAACTTCATGATGGTATTGATTCCCAAAGCAAATCCTCCAAACGCCTGTCATACTTCATACACTCGTAGAATTACGTGGGTTCTTTGGTAAATGTGAGCTGGGTCCAGCGCGCCTTGTGCTACACGGGCTAGGTGTTGTTCTTACTGTCGAGCTGCAGGTAGTCTGCAGCCATGAGAAGCTCAAGGCAGAGCTCGACGGGAATGTCCATGTCAGGAACGTCCTCTCTGTCGCGATTCTTGTACCAGTAGTGGAAGTACTCGACGACCTTCTCGAGGACTTGACCACTAAGAAGTTTGTCAGATTTGAAAAGTCGTGGCACTGGCCGGACTAGGTTGGTGAGGTTGCAGGGAGTTCTCAGATCAAGTGTAGTTGACTGTCAATCAGTCCCACGCCTAGGGCAGGGTCTGTCCAGGATGAAAGCAACATGTGTTTTTTGCATCGTCGAACAAGGGGATGATTTGGGTGCTTGCACGCGCCTGTAGTGAAAGACGCGTCCATGTCCAATGACTTACCTGATCTCTGGAAAGGTGCAGCGGCCTGTCTGTGCCTCAAGGAGGGTGCCGGAACCTACAGAGGATCCGTACTCAGCTACCATCAAACCTGAGGGAGCAAGGCACGGATTCAGTCCTTACCCCGGATCTCCAACATGCTCTTGATCATGGGGCTGATCATGGCTGCCTCGCGTAGAACAACAAACTCGAACTCATCAGCTGAGACAAGGGTGATGTACTTGGAGGGAGTATGATCGGCCATCTTGACAAGTGTTGGCGGTGAAGATGGTGTCGTGTGTGATGATGGAAGAAAGAAGGCTTAGAAGTGACGCGAACAGGAAAAGTTGCTAGGTCGGCGTGGATCTGACTGACGAGGGTTCGCGGCTGGTCGCGCTGCTAGGTGAGGGCAAAGAATTTTCTCTGGTGCCTTAGGTAATTTTTCCGTGACGTGATTTCTGGTGCGCGCGTCCACGTGCACGGTTCAGTTTGGGTCTGGGCTGGCACTAGCTGGCATTTGCTGCTGTACAGCGTGTTCGCACTGCCGTTTGCAGCAGGCTCAGCCTATGTAGTACCCACGCCCAGAGCCAGCTGGCGAATGCTTGGTGGAGGGGCCTCTAGGCTCCAAATGACCCAAATGACTGAATTCTCGGTGGCTGGTACCTTGGTTTTCAGGTGGATTCTCTGGTACCTAGGCGTTGAGGCCTGGTGCCTTGATTACTGGGGACTTTCATCAACGATGTCATTTCCGTTAGCGTTTAGATTTTCAAGATTCATCTCAAGATAGATTCGGCAGCATCGGTCGCTAATACAGTGGGCTTTTACTACGTATTCCAAGGCTTTCCCCATAGGATAGAGCGAGGACGTGTTGTGGCCAGTTTGCGCAAATTGGACACACTATGAGAGTACTACTGCCGGGCAAGGTCCAGGCAACCCAAGGTAAGCTCAGTGGTTGGCGGGGGTTTCAGCCGGTTTCTACATAGGTAAGCTGCTAGGGCACCCAATCAACGCGGGGTCAACCGAGTTCAAGCCCATCAATGACAACGTGGAATGGGTACCTGAAAGCTCCAGACTGCCAAACCACACAAGGGTTACCCGGTCAACCGCTACAGGCTCACGCATGACAGCAGGCCGCCAACCAGAACAGACGATGCAGGAGGGAAAGCAAGCATCCATATTCCACTGATATTGCCTTTGTAAACACGGGATCTCGATCTTCTTTCCCTTTTTTTCCGCTTCAAACCTTTCCCATCATTCCATCAAATTTTGGACAAGAAAAATTTCCATACTACACATCTATCTTTCCATCCGCCAAAAGGCACAACGCGACCTGCACCTGCTGCCAGAGTTTCACCTCCATTCCAAGCGGTGAACACACACCTTTTGCGACACACGCGGCCAGCTCCATTTTACAAGCATATCTCTCCATCCCACGCCTAAGCCAGAGCCAACCGCATTCCGTCCATTGCTCGCATCTGTATCCATCGATCAGCCAGCCCTTGTCGCTCGCCAACCATGGCGTACTATCAGAATCGCAATTCCTACTACGGCCATAATGAGAAGCACGACATTCCCCGCAGGCCGACGACGAGCGGGCGCACATCGGAACGCAACACGCGGTCCAGCGAAGGCACGGTCAGCACAGTCATGAGCAGCTCGACAGGTAGAGAATCGTCAGGGACGCACACCACAGAAGCACCAGCCTACTCCAAGAAGATTGTCGTTGTCGGCGATGGCGGCTGCGGCAAGACGTGTCTGTTGATCAGCTACAGCCAAGGTTACTTTCCAGAGGTAAGTTCTTCTTTTTCGCTCTTCCAAGGAGGGAAGAAAAAACCCATTTGCGCCCAGCCCCGTTGGTCGCCTTTGCGAGGATTTGCGACAGGGATCTACCGCGACATGCGCGCAACCCGCGAACTACGAGAACCAGAACAGCATGCTAATTGTCTTGTTCATAGAAATACGTACCAACAGTCTTTGAAAACTACATCACATATCCAACGCATCCCCCCAGCGGTAAGACCGTAGAACTTGCGCTGTGGGATACTGCCGGTCAGGAAGAGTACGACAGGTTGCGACCACTCTCGTACCCAGAGACAGACCTGATCTTCGTGTGTTTCGCGATTGACTGTCCCAACTCGCTTGAAAACGTCATGGACAAGGTACGTAGCCGAGAAAAAGAGCTGTTGACGCCCAGGCACTCAGCTCCTCCCTCCCAACCCCCCGCCTTTGCGTCTTTACGTAAAGCCAAACGCTCAGGCTCAGTGCACTAACCATCTTATCGTATTAGTGGTACCCAGAAGTCCTCCACTTTTGCCCCTACACGCCCCTCATTCTCGTGGGGTTGAAGTCAGATCTGCGCCACAAGAAGACCTGTATTGAGATGCTCAAGACCCAAGGCCTCACACCAGTTACTGCTGAGCAGGGCATGGCCGTTGCCAGGAAGATGGGTGCCCAGTACATGGAATGTAGCAGCAAGGAGATGAGGGGCGTCGACGAGATCTTCGACCAGGCTATCATCACCGTTGTTGGTAACGACCGACGCAACCTCGAGGCAGCCATGGCCGCCGCTGACAACTCATCGTCAAAACCGTCACACGAAAAGAAGAACAGCGTCTCCCAAATTCGACCCTTTAAGAAGAAGAAGAGGAACTGCATTCATCTCTAGATGTGCGCTCTCATTAACGATTGATGAAGCAGTCATGATGAGGAACGGATCAGTCCACACCATGAGGACGGCAGGGGATGGTTATACCCAGTATTGAATGACCTATTCAGCATGAATTTTTTTTTTCTCACACGGTTCCTTTGTTTGTTTTACGACCCCGGGAAGATATTACGAGGAAGCACACCAGCATTCGTCATATCGTTATGACCGCGAGAGTCAAGACGGGATCTCGTCTCGCATATAGACCTTGATGAGCGGGCGTTTTTGTGCTATCCTGCGATCGCCCAAGGAGGGTCTACGATAATGAGTTGGACGGGGGCTGCTGACGAACAGTTTTCATTCATATTGTATGTGCAGCATTTTAATGCGAGGAGGGATCGGAGCAGGATATACAGAGTGTCCCTACTTTCATATTTCTTATTTCTTCCATCGCAGGCGCCAAAAGCAGGAGCCTGCATTACTGGAAACTACATGTACTAGGGGGCCCGTTTCTTTTTGTTGTATTGATTGCCTGGTGTTGGGACTCCTTGCCTTGTTTTTCTTTTGCTTTTGACGTCAAGCATCTTCGCCCGGGATAGGAAATAAATCACATTCTTCGTCATTTCTCAATCTTCAAATGTTGCTTCGTGAATTTCGTGAATTTCGTGAATTGCTGTCTTGGGTTTGATGGTTCAAACTATGGATATAGACGCCATGCAATGAGGGAAAGCATATTGGTGACTGTCTCCAACAGATCTCTCTGCCGTTGCATTGTTCTCAAACCATTCTTCCCTGTATATGTATATATATGTACTTGTATACATATTAGGCTCAGACCACAATCTACCGCTCGTGATATCTCATCAGTGCGGGCATGATTATATATACCGATCTGAACTGCCTTTATGACTTGCACGGCAGAACGGCCGAGACGCCCGGCTTGCTGTATGAAGTCAAGCTGCGAAGGGACAAATTATTCCCATTCTTAGATAATTAGTTGCCTTGATCAGTAGAGTAGGGATATCATGGCGGTGCTTTCAAAGGACTCTTTAGTCTTCCTTTCTCGGCGTCTTGTCACCGTCGCCCTCGACACCAGCATCTGTCTTGTTCCCTTCTTCCTCAGGTTCCTTGGCCATGACATTCTCGAATTGGGACCACAGAGCCTCTACAGACGAGAACTCATTTCCCACCTGTAAGCAGCCAAATCAGTCCAGTCCGGTCAAGGTGAGTCATGTGAATAACGATGTCGCTCTCGTGCTAGCTGACCGCCACCATGTGCTTCCTTGGCGGGGGGCAATTGAAGGGTGGGAGGTTTGGGAGGGAGGAACATACAGCAATCACAGCCTCGAGGTTTCGGTTCAGTTTATTGATGTTGGCGAGAACATGTTCGAAGCTCTGCAAAGAGAAAAAACACAAGACGCAACTAATCAGCCTACACCGCATTCTCTCCCCAGCTATGCAAAAACCATGTGTCATGGCCTGCATTGAGAAGCGGACAAACATACCATGGCGATCTCGCCAATGAGGGCTTCCCTCTGCAACTCAAAATAGGTCTTTTCTCTGACTCCTCCGGCCAAACCGGCCGCGCCGCCCATGGCGGAGTGAGGTCTTTGGTTCGACATCCCAAGACTTTCTTGGCTTATTGTTCTTGTCTTCCTCTGCCCGGGGGGGCTTGGCCCAGGTTCCCTCTTTATTGCCGGGTTCCGAATATGGGAACAGCAAAAAGAAAGAAAAAGGATTGGGAAGAGGCTCGTTCCGAGACTTGGGTCCCCCTCCCCCTCGTCCTTGTCTGGGGGTTGATTCGAGTGTGGCGTGGGGCGGTTCGGGTTCCCACGTTGAGGCTCTGCTATCGTAGTGTGCGTACGTACTACAAGGGGTCCTGAGGTGCCAGAGATTCCTCAAGGGGGGGTTGGTTCGACGGGGTCTGGAACGCCAAAGGAGGGGAGGTAGAAAAAACTGCTGTTGCGATTAGAGTGCGCCAGCCAAAACGGATTTGTTCGGAGACGCGAATTGGTGACGCGATTGCGTTTTGTGCAACTTTGTGCTTTGAATCAGGCTGGACACTGGCAAACTGGCGAGACTGGACTGGGGGCTCGGGTGGCTTGCTGGGTGTGCGGGGCGCCAAAGGACATGGCTTCGCTTAGGCGCCTGGCTTAACGCATGATTTATGTGGGGGCGTACGACGGCATTCATCGTCACCCAAAAACGGGATACGGGTTGACGGGATCGTGGCTCGGCGAGCGGCAATTCTTTTTCTAGTTGCATTATTTCATGACTTGTGTTGTCCTGCTGGCTTTCTAGCAGTGGCTCGGCTTTCCTCTGTCTAAAAAGATGTGCCAGCTTTAGTAGAGGTTCTCGACGGAAATAGTAACCGGCGGTCAACACGTACGCATTGTCGGTAAAGATGGCTCGACTATATTGCCCACCTGGTTTCAACCGACGTCAGCACTTTATCACATGCACCAAAGAGTCGCATCATTCAACCATTAGAGATTCGAGATCGCGAATTAAGATCTTGACTGGATGAAAAAGAGTAGCAAATGAGATAGAGTAGGCACAGTAAAGTTTACTCGATGGACAAATAAATGGGGCCTGTGTGATAAGGATGTGCAAAGATGCTAGACTTTAGTATATGCACTATACCGTCGGGAGCGGAAAGGCGAATTGACGCCCTGAGGCGGCAGGCGGGTGTTTACGAGTCGGTATTTGCAAGCTAGCCTTGTCGAACGGTCAGCTATCCTCGAGGTTGTCAATCAAGATTTTTCCCGCCATCTTGGGTTTGCTTGGATTGCTTGGCGGCTGCACTCACTGAGCAAGCACCCTTTGGTGCCCTGCAGAAGCAATGGATTTGGCTTTCAGGGGGAAAAGTTGACAGAGTGAAGTGGTAATGTTATATTATGGAGCAAACCAGGAACTGCTTGCTCGTGTATGCTGCATCTCTTTTAGAGACATTAATTGCATGTCTTGGCAATACGGGGTCACTAATCAACGGCAACGCTTTTTATGTGGGATAATGGATCACGAAGCGAGCAGCAGACAAAAAGATCTCAGCTTGGCCCTCTACTGCCGACATGAGGCGCCAAAGCTTGACTTGTGAGCTCGCGAGATTCGTGCCGGCTTGGCAACAGAGGGGGATGACCCGGAACATGACCATGACTGGTTGACTGGTGCTTTTGCGGTCTGCTTAACGTGTCCCTCGGCAATCTTGTAGTAATAGGTACATGGGAGCTACTGCACAGTAAGTAAGTAGGGAAGAGACATAGAAAGAAAGAGAGGCCCAAGAGTCCCAGTTTGGTAACACCATTATACTAACGCGGCACATCCATTGGTCCTCGAACTTTAATCAGCAACCCACCCCTTAATTGCGCAGCCAGGCTCCATACTAGTCCCGAACGGGGTCTTTTTCTTTCTCGAAATTCACCCTCAAAGGCCCATTTTGTCGCAAAAGTCTGTCGAAATTGATTGCGCAAACCTCCCAGATGGTCAGAATCTGAGGCAGCATACCGCGTGGCAGGTGGGCAGACCCGCACTGCCCGCGGATTTCGGCGCAAATGGGGAGGGGGTTGTATGTACTCAGTTCCATTACCATACACTTTGCCTGCTCTACCAACACTTCCTCAAGATGGCTCGGTCATCTGATGACGATGATGGCATTGATGGGATGCATGCCAGGTTCAAAGCCCCCTTACCAACATTGAACGGCCTATATCTGCACAGCAACAAACTTGACAGGCGTGGACGCGCCACTGCTGTTCTGCGTGTTTCACGAGTCAATGGCTGGCATTGGTCGACAATCTGGGCTGCGCACTTTTTGAAACGAGGCTAATGTCCGCCGAGCAGGGATCACTCAATCAATTGACGACACCCGTCTATTTGCGGCGATCGTGAAGATCCAGGAGGCTCATTTTGATGGGATTTTCTTCTTCTTTCCTTTTCCTTATTCCCACTTGACCCAAGCAGCATTCGAAATTGATACGCAGAGGGTCGCTGGCGGCTGACTATGATCCTTACCAAGCTTGCCAAGCACACCAAGAAAGCACATCCACTCATCAGTTCCCACACCTTAGCACGCCTTGGTCCGTCTCCATGCATCTCGACCAGAACCCTGCATGTCTGCACCAAAAGACGGGTCACCCTCGTTACCCATGCCACGCCTCTTTGGCCCGGAACCTCATCCTCGTCCTGGTAACTGACGGTGGAATGAATGGAGAAGAATGGAGACGCCCTCCTCGATGCAGCCAGTGAACAAAGCTTTTTTCACGCCGTTCAATTGCGCGCCCAAGTGATGCTGCCGATCCATATGAATAGTCCTCGGCCGCCGTGCCTCCGCTTGTAGGTTCCTTTTCTTTTCGCTCTGCCTATTCCTCTACGTCAGTTCTTCTCAGTTCTATACTCTTTGAAATTTGCTGTCGAGAGTATCTTTTTTTTTATTACCCATCAGGTCATCGCTCCTTATCACAGACCTCTTCTCTTCTCGTCGACTTCCCTCGCCCTTTTTGATATCTAGTCTCGCCAGTGCCAGGGAGTGCCGGCACTTCCACTCTCATTAAACAACCTATCCAAACAAACCTTCTCCACGATCGTCCCGTCTGTCACAGTCATGGTTTCATCCCTTCTTCTGACGGCCGCCTTGGCCGCTGGAGCCGCTGCCGCTCCCGCCAGTTCTCTTCCCGGACACCGCAAGGCCGGCTTCACTGTCAACCAGGTGCGGGCCGTGAACCATGTCCGCCACGGTCCTTCTGCCGTGGCCAAGACTCTGCTCAAGTTCGGCAAGACCCCCTCCGATGACCTCCTTGCCACTATCAAGGCCTTCAAGTCTGAGAGACTCGCCTTGTCCATTTCCAAGCGGACCAACGGTTCCGCTGTCACCACTCCCGAGCAGTCTGATATTGAATACCTCACTCCCGTGTCGATCGGTACTCCTGCACAGGTTTTGAACCTTGACTTTGACTCTGGTTCATCCGACCTTTGGGTCTTCTCGTCCGAGACTCAGAGCAGCGATGTTTCTGGCCAGAGCATCTACACCCCCGACGACAGCAGCACTTCGACCCTACTTGACGGAGAGACCTGGGACATTAGCTATGGTGATGGATCGTCCAGCTCTGGAACTGTCTACACTGATGTCGTTTCCGTTGGCGGTGTCTCTTTTGACGCCCAGGCCGTTGAGATTGCCGAGACAGTTTCTGACTCGTTCACTGAGGACCAGAACAACGATGGTCTTCTCGGTCTTGCCTTCAGCACCCTGAACACTGTCTCCCCCACCGCCCAGAAGACCTTCTTTGATAACATCAGAGAATCTCTCGACTCTAGCCTCTGGACCGCTGACCTAAAGAATGGCGAGCCCGGAACCTACAACTTTGGCTGGATCGACGACTCGCTCTACACTGGTGAAATTGCCTACACCGATGTCGACTCCAGCGATGGATTCTGGAGTTTCACTGCCGACAGCTGGTCGGTTGGTGACAGCAGCTCCAGCGGCAGCACCAGCGGCACTGCCACGTCTTCTGCCGCAGCTCAGGCTACATCGAGCAAGACAGCATCCTATGTGGCCTCTACTTCCGCCTCCCCCTCGTCCCCAAGCGGCTCGGCTGGATCTAGCTCTGGCCCCGGCTCCGGATTCGGTGGCGGTCCTGGCGGCTCTGACGGTGGCCGCGGTGGTTTTGGTAGCGACGACTCTGGCTTCGGTGGCGACCTGGGCGAGCTCGCCGAGGCCCTCTCTGGTCTTTTCGGCCGCGACAACAAGGTGGCCCGCGCTGGCTCTGCATCGACCACGACGACCACCCTTACCGGTATTGCTGACACTGGTACGACTCTTGCCTTCCTCCCCGCGGATGTTTGCGAGTCATACTACAGCTCCGTTTCCGGTGCTCAGTACTCCAACTCGTACGGTGGATACCTCTTTGACTGCGATGCCGACCTGCCCGACTTCAACTTTGTGATTAGCGGCACTACCATCACCATTCCCGGCGACTACATGAACTACGCTGCTGTCGACTCCGCCGAGACTTCGTGCTACGGTGGTATCCAGCCCGACACTGACATTGGTTTCTCCATCTTTGGTGACATTGCGCTCAAGGCTGCCTTTGTTGTCTTCAAGGATGACGGCTCTTCCACTCCCCAGATTGGTTTTGCCAACAAGAACGTGTAGAAAGCGTCTGAAGAAAACCTACCACTTGCATAAAGCGTTCCCTATTTCCTTCTTTTTTTGTATATAAATTAGAGCTGAGAATAGCCCGTGGAATGATATCCAAATACTTCATTGGGTTTTGAACATTTACTTACTACAACGAAAACTCCCTTGCCTGTGAAGTAAATTGTCCTGTCAAATTGTAATGAAACCAACTTGATGTTCCCACATGTGTACCTTGGAAGAATCGAGATTAAGATATTTGTTAGTCTCACAATCGAGTAAACAAGCGTACGACATGACACTACACTACGCAGCCCCACAGCTCTATGTTGAATGTTATTTTGTGGCACGGAGCATGCAGCGATCTTCCTGTCATGCAACTCGAGTGAGCCATCCACAAGCGACATTGGGGTAGGAAACGGGAGATGATGGGCCCGCATTTGCATCCGTAACCCAATTTTGCTCTCAACAGCAAGATCTCAAGCCATAGCAGACTATCTGTTGTTGCAAGACCTTGGACGCTCAGTGAGCCATGCGGCATGCCAGCCAGCGGCCCCGTTTCCTAGTTCTACTCGCCTGTTGCAGTATTATAAATCATGAATAGCACCTGGTCACGTGAACTCTATGATGAGAATGTGGTGAGTGCTTGTGCAAAGGTATATATCTATTCAACATTCATTGGAAATCGGACTTGATAACGCATGCTCTCAGTACATTTACATTGACCCTTCCTTTCTGTCCAGTCCTTTCTCTTGAATAACCAACTCGGCAGTCTTGTCATCCACGGTGTGGGCCATTCCCTCGATAACGGCGAGGGTTGCGCCAGCTCCAGTGGTCTGGTACTTGCCAAACTCAAAGACGTTGATGCGCTTCTGGAAGAGCTCGTCGAGCTCCTCGAGCGTGCGGCCCTTGAGCTCGGGAAGCACGAAAAAGGCCCACGTGGCGGCAATGATGGACCCGGCGCCCCAGACAAAGGCAATCTTGCCCTGCAGGTTGCCGTAGCCCGTGTCTTGGATGAACGGGCTGACAAAGGTGATGAGCACGCTGGTCGAGAAACCACTAAAGGTCGCCACCGTAACGGTCTTTTCTCGGACGGCGAGTGTTGGGACTTCGGCGCAGACGATCCAGACACTGCAGATTGATGGTTAGCATGACTGTCGATTTCCCAAAGGGTGTTTTTAATCTGTGAAATGGGTACGCACCAAGAAGCCCACGAGATGGCTTGCACAAACTGCCAGATGAAAAGGCAAGCAAGCGCTCCCTTTTGAGCACCAGGATCGCTTCCGTGGAAACCAGTCAGTCCAGCAAGGACAAACATGCAAATCGAGAGCAAGATGGCGCCACCAATCATGAGGGGACGACGGCCAATCCTGTCAACAAAGTGGAATGCCAGCACCGAAGACAGGCAGTTGACCATGTAGAGATAGATCAAAATCTCGAAACTGTTGGTGACACCAATAGTTTGCAAGAAGACAACCGAGTACGCAACAATGAAACCGCTGCCCTGAGCCTGCTGCAAGCACTGGACGCCGGCGGAGATGAGGGTGCGACGCAGGTTGGAACCCATAAAGACGTCGGCCCAGGATGTGTGCAGGTAGAGCTCGTGGTCCTGCTCTTCCGCCTGTACCAAGAGGTTGAGCTCCTCGTCGATGAGAGCAATGGGTGTGCCGCGGCGGAGAAAGTGGAGGACCTTGCGCGCCTCCTCGACTTTGCCCCGGCCTACCAGCCATCGAGGAGATTCCGGCAGAAAAAAGCCACCGGCGACGAGTACGATCGGGATAATGAACTGGATCATGAGCGTTGGACGGTAGGCCCATTGATCTGTACGAGACTGCAGGCCCCAATTGGCGACACAGGCCATGGTCGCTCCCACGAGTTGCCCTTTGAGAGTATCTCTATTAGCACACAATCCCTCCGTCTTGGTTCCGTTGTGGCTTACAGAATTGGTAGATGTTGATCAATGATCCTCGAATCTTGGCAGGCGAGACCTCACTCTGGTATGTCGGAACAACACTGTTTGATGTCTTTGGTAAGTATAAGCCCCCAGAACTCTTGATCGTTTGGCGGACTCACTTGCACACTAGACCCATGGAAATACTGTTGATGATACGACCAGCCATGAGCTGCCAAAAGTGACCAAAAGAGCAGACTTGGATCAGGATACCGACAATGGCAATGGCGGCGGCGAGGTAAAAGGTCTTGATACGACCAAGGCGCTGACCGACAAAACCAGAAAACAGACACCCAAGGGCCACACCCGCAGTAGGCGCACCACTACCAGCAGACTGCCACGATGCTGGGATGGAATAAGTGCCCGTGGCAGCATCGTAGACACCAAAGTCCTTGGCGAACTGGCTCATGCCCAGGAAACCGGCCCAGTAACAATTGTCCCAACCGAAGCCGGCACCGGCCAGACCGGAGTAACTGCACACGGCGAGCAGCGGGCCAGTCAGTTCCTGGCCCAGGTCGCTGGCCTTCCAGCGCTGGACGATACCCATTGTCGTGTATCCGCAGGTTGCCGTGATGATATGTTCGCTGGATCGGATGGAGGAGTCTCGAATACAGACGGAGGGTAGTTCAAAGAGGTCCAATGCATGTCTTCAAGTCACTTGCAGGGTGCGTTTCACCTCGAGTATATGTAGAGATATGTCCCAACTTGGCGGCTTCTGGATATCATATCCCGAAGATAAGGTATCTTGCAGCTGAGCCGTCTCCACCATGTTTCCCGGGGGGTCTATCGTCGATTTGGCAATTGCCCTATTGGATAGCCCGACCATCTACGTATACTACCAAGTCCCGGCAGGCGGGTCCCCCTTTACCCCAGAGATAAGCTGCGAAAAGCGCCTTGGGGGCTAAGGTAGCTAGCTACCAGTTTACTGGTACGCAGCGTGGCAGATAGATAGGTAGGAGCTAAAATGGTAGACTTTGTCCAGCATCAAGCTGATTTTAGCTGCAACGAACTCTGCGGGTGGCTGAAAGCAGATTAGCACCAAAGCCTCCCCGAGAGCCGCAGCCGTCGGGAGGTCGGAGGCAGCGCCGTTTTTCTATGGCATTCGGACGTCCGTGCCAGTGGTGATGGCTTCCGGGCTTTTGCGAGTCATTCAAAAGATACACATTCTGCATTGCCAAACCAGCCTAAAAAGATAAGAAGGAACTCACGAGAGGCCTCGTGGTGTTTTCTTTTTCTTGCCAGCCAAACAATTGCAACTATTGATTGATCGAAAACGTTCCAGATGCGATTATGGTGGTGTTTTGCCATGGTGTTGACAAGTCTTGGCGGGAAGCTGACGTTTTCTCCGGGTTATTCCCTGCCTGCCGCCAATATCAAGGCCGCAATTGTAGAAACACGCCAAGAATATGGCGATCAACAACAACGAGGCCTAACCCAGAACTCGAACATCACCAACACGATATTTGCGAGAACTCCGAAAAGCCAAGAAAAATGGCAGATGCAATTAATGTTAGAATGAAATACAAAACGAGCATACAATGATTTTCATTCTCTAAGAGGGGAAATAAGAGAGAGAAAGAACAAGCCACTAGCATAAACTGTAAAAGGAAAGAGGACATATATAAAAGACCAATCAACCAGCTTAATATTATATTGAAATAGAGTAGCCATTATAGTATATGTTAAAATCGCAAAAAGAATAGTTGCATTAGCCGCGAATCGAACGCGGGGCCCATCGATGGCAACGATGGATTTTACCACTAAACCACTAATGCTTAGTAACAAATATTTTTATTGGGCTCTAGATCCATAACCAACACCGCTTGAGCGACGTCCCATAATCGCTTTCTGGAAATACTTCGTGCATGAATATGACGTTTCAAACTGCTTGAAATTTCCAACTCCTTCGAAACGACCGTTTAGTAAGTTCCCAGAGATTTTTTGAGCGCCGAGGATCCGATTTCGCTTGTAGGCCTTGGAATGCCACTTCATGAAAAAGATCCTGCACACCTTCGCGGCACTTGACCGAGCAGTCAAAGTAACTGGCAGCTCCAATGCGGTCCATGATTCTCTTACCCTATCATCGAAAAGTCAGTGCGTGATTCTGTTATCCGGGCTTATAAATTCAAACGGGAGAGGGCATATGATACCTCTGCAGAGCTTAATGGCTGATCCTGTGCGTCGGCAAGCATTTGAAGCGTCTTGTAATTGTCGCGAAGATCAATCCGTAGGGCAGCGAGTACTAGCGGGCGTCCCGGATACAAATTTCGGATTTTCGGCATCCACTATATTCCAAATGTCAGTTTCTTCACAAATATCATGAATTGACGGTGGGCTGGTCTGCCTACTATATCCTCAATGTCGCGAATGGAATCAGGAGAGTCCACAGTCATGCAGAGGACCACACAGTCCACGTTTTGCACGCCCTTGAGTTTGTGAAGATCAGCGACTTCACCGGATGTGTCCCAGATGACCATGTCCATGGGCTGCCTGGTTTTGGCTTCTGTTACGCTCGCCCGGTAGGCCATAAGGCCATTATTCTAGATCTTTTTAGTTCTTTATTCCTGACTTTCAACCTTCAGTCAATGATCACTTACAACTTCTGGTCTCTCACGGCTCCCGCTTATGTACGCTCTTGTAGCCGTAGATGTTAGCTCGGACAAACAATGTGCCACCTGTGAGGCTTACTGTATTAAGGACGACTTCCCGGAACAACTTGGACCGAGAATAACAGTGGTTACCCGTGCTTTTGGCTGTATACTGTCGGTTTCGTTCGTCACACCTTTTTCGTCGTCTTTAAAAACTTGATCCTCTGTAATAAGAAAGATAGTTAGCTGGGCACAGTTCATGGGGTTTGGTATGATCTTACGACTGCAAGTATCATTCCTATCGCATCCAGCCTCTGTATCAATCAAGGGAAGTCTGGTGGCCGTAGGGCTTTCTGTTTCCCTTGAAAATGGTAAAGGCTGGGCGCTGGGTTCCAGCGGCTCGGACGATGGGGCATTATGCATGGCAGATATCCAGGTCGAAAGCGTCGAAGATTCAAAGTATGTATCGAGACCAATATCCGCAACGCTACGAGGTTCTTCTATCGTAGTATTTGCTTTGTCTGGTATATGGACTGAAAACATGTCTTTTTCCCTTCTGTTGTCATCCTCCCATGAGAAAGCTCTTTGAATATGCACAGAAGACGTTCTAGAAGGACCATGGTGCGTGTCAGAATTGGCGTTGTCCATGGCGGTAGTGGACGCGTCAAGCTCGTAGATTGACCTTACGTCCGTTTCTGTGGGGTTTCCATCTTCTTGAGACGGTGATCCTTCAATCTGGATTGAGGGCGTTGTGACCTTGATGCACTGATTGCTAGAACTCCCAGCGTTGGTGTTGAAATCGGGCTGGCGGTCGCGTTTTAAACCGATGCATCCCGATAAGCTATCTTGGAGGTCCAAATAGGGATCAACTCTCTGAGATTGGCTTCCAGTCTCTTTATCTTTTGTATCTGTACACGATGAAGAAGTGGTTACTGTCGAGCTGTCGTCAATCGATTGATAGTCATCTGTAATCTCATCTGTCGTGCCAGTAGTAATGCTGTCTTGCTCAGTTTTCCTGTCATTTAACGCAAACGGAATCGCTTCACTCGGTGGAACCGTGTTTCTGAAAATATTTCGCACTTTGTCTGTTACTGTAACTGCTTGGTCGGTTTGCAAGAATTCTTCGATTGCCGACTGGCTCAATAGACTGGGTAGGCTGGGAAATCGTGGAAGGAAAGATTTAGCTTTTTCCCTTTCCTCAGCTGAATAGTTGGGAATTTCAGTACTTGAAGCATCAAATTCCGCGGGTAAAACCGGCTCACTGGCTTCGACTGCAGTTTTGTCGCTTCCAAGATTGATGTCGAGTTGCGCAAGCATTGCCTTGTATACCTCCTCCTCCGGCTCGTCTTGTTCCAGCTGACATGCCGTGATCATCAATTCCAATGCTTGTTTGAGCCCATCGAGCCCGTCGGTGCCGAGTTTTCGATAAGCTTTAATGCATTTCCGTGCGTAGATACGCCCTTCGTTGATGTCGTGTGCTCGCAAAAGAAACTCCACCAATCCGAGAGTCTCTTGAAGGTACCTATCGGACTGTGTTGTCATGTCGTACGACAAGACGGACAGTTTCTCAAGCCTGATTCTTTTAGCTTCAGCCCAATTTTGCTGTTCCTCCAGCGGTTGAAGCAGATCATCGAGCATAAAGAGTTTCCGCTCGGCATCGAGGTATCGGGAGCGATGGTGTTTTAGCTTGGAGATTCCTGCAGCGAGAAACTTTGCCGCAGTGACTGAGTTGCCGTTTTGTACATGTTCCTTTCCTTTCTGTAATTGCAGCTGAATCGCTTCCACCTCCTGTTCGGCCTCGGAATCCGAATCTTCAATAACGTCAAACTCTCCATAAACACTCCCGAGCGCTTGAGATTGGTTCATGTACCGAGTTGTGTTGCCCGTCTCTGCTAGCCATCGCAGCATCACCGACTGACTTCGTGCTGGGAAAATGTCCATATAATCGGACGGGGCCAGGACTGATCTGGTGTCATTCGCGCCCAGTGTCGTGGATGCCGACGATACTACATCGAACGATGTTCGTACACACGATTGAAGGCTCTGGATACTTCGAATCCGCGCATCCCTTACAGGCGATTTGGCCATGCCTTCGCACATGACCAATTTGTGATTCAAATCGTGTCCCAGGTTGCGTATTAGCAAGGCCAGCTCATCTAATTTGGGTAAAGTCTCGGAGGACGCATCCTTTGTAGAGACTGAATTCCAACTAGCTGGTTTTAGCTTTGATCAGATGTCTGGGCAACTACTGCAGCGACTCACAATATGGCTGTCTGGAGTGAAAGCTGAATGGTGTCCCTATATGATCGTATTTGCTGTTGGTAAATGATGATCTCCTCTGTGGCCTCCCTAAATCGAAATTGCTTTCGTACGGTGCCGAAGAGCCGAGCGCTTTTGTCGACGCCTTGCAATACAAGCTGCAGGCTCTGGACTGTATGTAGTCCATCTTTTATACATTCGTTGATACACCTCCAATGGTCGCCGATATGTCCTGTTAGTTGACTGGAGTGTTGCAACTTGGTGTCATTCAGGGTGTCTCTCATCGAGTGCAAAGTTTGAACGAATAGGTCTACTTCAGTAATGAGGCCTTTGACCTTGGTGTCCACATGCAGTGACGCATCACGAAACGATTTCAGCGTAGATGCGACCTTGATCGAGGCGCCCAGGAGCGCCACCACGCTCGCAGTGATTGACAAGGGGTCCATGAATATTCCGGATGACTCTGAGTTGTGCGGGGTGCAGCCTCGGCAGTTCTCACGACGGAGCCGCTAGGAGAGACCAACAAGGTCTTCCGACCCTTCAGTTGCTGCGGTGAAAAGCTGTATGGCTCTGCGCAGGAAAATGAGTCTTTCAGCAATAGAGAAAGAATACCTTCTTTAGTTGGGACAGTTGAGCGCGGCTGACCTTGGAGAGAAAGAAGGAAAAAGAGCACAGAGCACATTTCTTGTTGAATTGTTTTATCTGCACAGCGAACTGCGCCTGTCAGCTACCTGGTCTTAGCTGCATGACATGGGGGCTGTACAAGGCGTATTCTTCAGCTTTCGAATGCTGCATGACAACTCCCTGTTTGGAAGCGAGCCTCATCACAAAAGGCTGTCTTTAGTCTTTCAAGTCCAAACCTTCCAACCGATCTCAGGCCCCAACTGCAAACTGCCACAAAAAAAAACCACAAAGTACCATACAAAGCCCTTGCGATTACTGTCATGTCTTCGGAAATGTTGAATTAAAAGATAAAGTGCGCAAAAGAAAGGCCCTGTATCTACTTCCCTAAACAGCCTCGTTTTGGCCCCCAATACAGTTACGGATATTAGTAACCTACATTGCGATTACGAGGCGTGTATTCATTCCATTTTCTTCAGAACTCGAGTGCAAAATAGTGGACTTTCACATCATGACCAACCTGCCTTTTACCCAAAGATTTACGTGTCTACATATGTTCTCTCCTCACTCTGCCCCTCATCAAGCCAAAGTCGATCACGCGTTTTGATTATTCATTTGTATCGACTAATGCACGTAAGCCCGCCATGGCCGAGCTGATAGGCCCGCCGCCTCGCTGGCAGGTTCTGTCACATTCGCGGCGCAGATCACGAGGCTGAGCTACAATATCTTTACAAATATCTCAAAAGCATCCCGCACTCAACAACGATACCTGTCAGAGGGTTCTGCGCTGACTGAGGTGCGATTATGGTCCTGTAACGCTGCTCAGCACGCTGGGGATCTCAAACTAGGTCCGAATATTACGCAGCCCACTTCTCTTTCGAATGCTCTTCTAGCCGATTGCCAATTGGAGTTGTCGTCAATATGCAACGACTTGAAAGCGGGTATCAAGCAGGCGAAATGGCTGTTCAGAGACAGGGAGTTGAGACAGAACATTGATCAAATGCGAAGATATCACGGCATTTTCTCCGACTACATCTCTGGCCATGCTCTGACAACGAGTACCGCGACATATCTGAAGGCCAATGCAATAAGCTCTGAAATCGATGATATCGGTAAAGAAATGAAGAGAAAGGAGCTTTTGGAGGGGCCAACATCTCTGAGGACACATCCAAGCCGATGTGAACTCCAGCGCCCGATACGGGAAAGTGGTTTCTCGAAGAGGCGCAGTATCGCGAGTGGCGCAACAGTGAACCATGTCTTCTCTGGTGTAGTGGTGCTCCCGGGGCCGGCGAACCGCCATTAGTTCCCTTGTCGTCAAAGCCTTTACCGTTTCCATCCTCAAATCGCTTTCATCGGCCAATTCTTCATGTACGTTTGTGTACTGCCCTCGCCTACTCTGGGCGAAATTCAGAGCAGCAATAGGATCTCCTTGACGAATCTGAAAGCCAGAGAAAATGGCAGGTGTAAGGGATGTCGAAATAAAATACGAAACGATTATACGATTGTTTTCGCGTCTAAAGAGAGAGACCAAGCCACCAGCGTAGGCTGTAAAAGGAAAGAGGACATATATAAGAGACCAATCAATCAGCTTGCTAAATCAAAAAAGAGAAGGTACTCGAGTATAGATGATATAAAATTGCAAAAAGAAAGATTGCACTAGCCGCGAATCGAACGCGGGGCCCATCGATGGCAACGATGGATTTTACCACTAAACCACTAGTGCTGTGATGTCCAAAGTTCACTTTATTCTTGAATCAGTTACAACAAACGCTGCTTCAGCGACGTCGTATCCTCGCTTTGTGGTTGGATCAGAACTTAGGTGGGCGACCACTGGAGAATTCCTGGTGTCGTATATTCTGTTTTGCTATATATTTATGTTTATGGTTCCCGATAAAGTGTGAAGCCTTTTCAAATAAGTGAAGCACTCTTCCATGCGCTTCAGCAATATGACAGATCCATGATGGCGGCAAGTACTCATTTGCTGTAAAATTAGAGACCATGAGGACTACCTTGGCCAAGCAGGAACTCTCCCACGTACTTATTGTTGAGGCAACAAATATGTGCGTGTCGTGTACACGACATGTACAGCCCTTCTCCTTCTTCGGTCTCGTACTTGATGACCGTGGCTCCCTTGGCCCACGCCCGTGTCCTGTAACAAACACGGCGAACCAGTCTCCTCGCCGCCAGGCTGGTACGATGATGATAGAGAGTGGTTGGCCGCTAGTTCACCATTGAGATAAACGATAACTGTGAAATTGTCGGCCTTAATTTGATAGTGCAAAATCAACTGTCCACCTCGACAGCAAATCGTTGTACCCATTAGACATGCCGGCTTCAAAAACTGGTAACATGCAATGTGCCCAGTTCTCTGCCTCTTCATTTTCTTGGCCTCCTGTGATGGTGGGAATATCTATTGGGTCCATCTGATCATGCTCGTCAGTCTCAATTAACCTGATGGTTCGATTCGCAAGAATTTCGAATAGATCACGGTATGGAGCAACGGCGCTCCACCGCTCGGCCATAACAACGAGAACAATCGTGCAGTTAGTGCAAGTGTCTCTGACCTGGCCGTGGCGCTGTGCGTTCCGTACGGCAGGTGATGCCCATAGGCAGTGAACGTAGGTTAAGCCAGCTAGAAATAGCTCGTGCAGTGCGACCCACGTGAAGCTGGCCGGTCCTCCAGGAAATTGGCGGCGGTAGTGATGACAAATTCTCTCAGCTGCTCCCATGCATTCAAGGAAGACAGGATCCCCCGGATCTGCTTGTGGATCAACCATCTTTACTCTGTAGAGCTGAAGGATAGCATAGTCGTATTCCAGCGCGAACCAGTCCGAGGTACCAAATAATGACATTGGTGGGTCGGTAGTGCACGTTATCGCTGGAATTGAACTCTTCCACGCCTCAAGCTTGTTGCGAAGATGCTGTATATGTCGGTCGTGTCTTTCCTTCGAAAAACAACAAGCTGGGGACTTCGAGTACACGAAGCTATGTATCTGGCTCAAGAGATGCCGAACACGGAAAGTGTGGATCGCCCTCTTCAGATTCGTAGTGGAGCTCTCTGGTGAGCCTGTTGACAAGTGCTCAATACCGGAACTCGAATCTTGCGTCTCACCTCCATCACTTGGAAACTATAAATGTAAATCGTCAGCACAGGACAGTTCGCATGTGCAACGTCAGAAGTCTTCTCAAGTGTGTTTCGCGTATGGCTTTTACCTCAGTATCGACGTCGTCAGCCGGTATGCCGGCAGGTCGACCCAACATGATGGAAGCCTGAGTTTCCATTGTGTACGCGCACCAGAAGGCCCTCTTGCCGAGTTCGATTTGTATCTGGGTTCCGGAGAAGCGCACATATTGCGAAGCTCGATGATAGCCAAGGTCAATGCATTGGCGTAGAGCCAGCCCAGCAAGTTTCCTAGCGCGTGTTAGTCGCGATCTAGGATGATGATTTCAATATTCATACCAGTATGATGTGCCAATAGGTGACCAAAGTGAGTAGACTGCACAGCACAAGGTCGCCTGTATGGATGCTAGACTGTCTTCCGAGAAGACAGAGCCGGAATGCAGTTGCGCCGACATATATAACTGCTGCTGAGAGTCAGCAGCCGAAGAACATTTGAGGATATCAGATTGACCTCCGCAGATTGTCCCAGTTTTGGCAACAATACGGCACCAATTGCGTAGACCTGATTGTGTTTAGTTGGCTGATAAAGACCAGGCGAAAGTCAGATGGGATTGTAACAAACCACGTTCAGGAAGAATAACGGTAGTCTGTCAGTCGCCGCTATCGTGTTACAAGGGGAATATTCCCCGACATATTTGGCCTCCCAAGCTCTGAAAGTTGGTTCATGCAGAAATGGATACTGCTTGTGAATATTTTGGAAGTACGCATCGCTGAGCCTGATGGCTGTCTCTGGCTTGGGGAGCGGGCAAGGCGCTGGTGCGGCCACTAGGTCGCCCTCACGATATTGAGCGAGCGCATCGGCTTTGTAGGCACTGTTCAAGATATTCTGGCGCAAAGATGGATTGATCATTTGCGAGAAAACAAACATGGAGGACGAGCCCAGATAATGTGGCTCGGCGCCGGCTGCGTTTAGACTTAACACGCCAACCTTGGAAGCCAGCTCGTCTAGTCCGTCACGCTCTTCGACCGCACTGACTTGCAGAGGAGCGAATTGGCGGATGGCGCCAAGGTCTTCGGGCTCAACTACACTTGAAGAAGGACCTGATGGTAATCCTGGGTGTTGGCAATTGACAGTGGCATCCTCACCGAGATGATCGCTGGCCAGATCGGGTCGGTATTGTTTCAAGAGACCCTCCAAAAAAGCCACGCGATGCTCCAGAGTCTCAAGATAGTTTCGTGGAAACAGCCTCTTTGTCCTGGGATCCTCAGCTAGACATGCTAAGAACTTCATTAGCAACGTTCTTGTTTGGTGGACTTTCTGCGGCTGCTGACCTATACCTTCACGCCGACAATTGTTGCAGCCCGTTGGCTCATCATCGCACTACCATGCAGTTAGCCGGCTGGTATCATAGGAGATATCACGGGGTGCCTCGCTTTCAGCTTCTTTTCCTTGCAGCACACACAGGCTAGCAACGTCCTATGACTTGTGCGAGCTCGCTGTGGACCTCTGCTAATTCGAACTCGATGGTCCATTATCGCTGCACATCGAGTGTAAATATGACCAAGGCGCAAGATCAAAAGACGGACAGCCCTTGACGGAGGAGCTGCATCGATTGAAGAGAGGTAAAGATTGGAATGAGGTAGGTCTAGGTTCTAGAGACTCTTGGAAGATAAGGCTAGTTGATTGTTCGAGTGTGGGGTCGCAACTTCATGGCTTTGCTGCATAAGCCAATTTCACACGTGACCTTTCAAGCTTAGTGTTGATGAGGGCGATGCTTTCTCTCGAATAACTTTTCAAAAACAACTTTCAAGGATAAAAAATTGGAGGTTACAACACTGACAACAATGGGCTCGCGAATTCGGTGGCCTTGTAGCTATCGAGACACCACCGAGGGCTCCTTGTTACTTGAGAGAGGTGATCATGAACCCTTGCAACGTAACGTAGACTCAGTTAGCATAAACCATGTCGGCACCGCGCCCGACATGTCTCACATGTCGAGATAATAAATCTTGATGCATCGATCAGTCAACCTGACGTGGATGCCCATTGTGTGTTCTATCAATCTATCCTGCTCGTCCCTAGGTTTGATGAGGTGCGAGCTTGTTTAGGCCGCCATGGCATTGATAATTATCCTAAAGCACGGGGCTCCTATTCACCATGGGTTAGATTGCTAAATGGGGACGGTGTCCTCGATATCACTTCTACCGTGAACGTCGGGCCACTTCCTGCCTCACAGCTTGCCGATGATGGATTGATGGGCGTATTGTTTGCTATTCCAACACCATGGAAGAACATATGGCGGGATCTGTCAAGATAGGATTGATTTATATTGTTTCATAAACCTACGCGATAAAAGAAACATCCAGCGCCGGCGCCAGTCGACTCCACCAGTGCACAATCTTCGACCTATATGCGCGATAACACGGGTTCTACAATACGGCCTTTCAGATTATCCATACGTGCTCTTGTGATTTCGAAGCATTCAGGTAAGTTCGTCTCGGCCCACGACCTCCCGTCCATTAACTTCACCAGTCCAGGAGCGGCGGTGAAAATACGGGCCATACCACTATTTCAATATGCGCTGTTAGCCATGCCGAGATTACTGTTGAGGGAAGGACAGAGAACTCACTGTCCGTGGTGACCAGCGCAGACCCACTGGCCTGGAAGGCCTGGTATTTGTCCGACAAATGGTACGCTGTCGGCACTCTACATGACTGTTAGAACTTGACCTTCCCTTCTCGATGTGGTCACTCACCAACGCTATGATGCCGCTCCAACCTTGCTGGTAGTGGCCGCCTTCGACCTTGCCGGACGCCTGCCAACCAAGCATCTGCGAATTGGTAAACTCCTCAAGAGCTGCCGATACTGAAGAGAAACTACGCAAACTGTCGTTAACCGATCTCTCTGGGTGATCTCGGATCCAGTTCCCGAACTCTGCTTGGCCGGGATTGCTACCACCAAACAATAAAGGGCCCTTGGTGGGAATTTGAGGGTTAATGGTGTAAAGACCTCCTTCAGGAAGCACAACTCCGTAGGAGTGTTTCAAAGCAGTAGGCTCGGTGAGAGTCACAGGTGGCTGGACTTTGTTACAAATATGAGGGCAGGGACTGATGATGCCGCGGAGAGATGGCTCTAGTGCTGCGATGTACGCGTTGGTGGCATGGACAACCTGTGAGCATGCAATATTGCCCCGTGCAGTCTCTACCACCCATGGTCCTGCTGCGATGGCGCCGTGGCTCACCCGAGAGACTTCGGTCCTGGTCTGCAGATTGACACCACGCTTCAGACTCTCCCGCATAACGTGTGCCGCAAGCTTCCATGGGTTTAGAGTGGCCGCGGGCCAAGCGTAGCAGGCTTTGGAATCTTTAATCCGACTCCACTAGACCTAACTGTCAGCTATAGATCGAAATTATCGCAGAGATTTACGCTTACCGTAACAGCTTCCGCTGGGTCGTGCGTTACTCTGATATGATTGGTATAGCCCCCAGCTGCCTTGAAATGCTCATAAGCGTCTCTGGTGGTCTCTGCGGCATCTGCCGTTACTGGGACGTCTAGGGTATCGCCAACCCAAAGGTCGCAGTCGACCTTGTTCTCTTTGATATAGGCTACGATAGAGGCCCAGGTGTCTCCTTCATTGCGTAGGATCTTGGAATAAGGATCAGGACTAATCTGTGTATGAGGTGGAAAAGGCAAGGCTACACACCTTGAGAGATTGCTCGGTGCCAAACCTCTCCTTAAAGTCGGTAAATCCCCGATACTGATCCGGCTTGCAGTGGCCTGCATTACGTCCGGTGGCACCAGAACAGAAGCCGCGGGCTTCGAGGACGACGATCTTTTTGTCAGGCCACGCTTCGATGCAGTGCTTGGCTACCAATGTCCCAGTCATCTGAAGCATGAGTTTAGCATATGATTCTCTTCGGACCAGCCTTTGGGCATGATAAAGGCGCACTGACACCAGAGCCGATAATTACGATATCTGCGTTGCTAGGCAGCTGTGAGGATGAACGGTGGTACAGCAGAGGGTCATTCTGCGCAAACACCAGCCAGTCTGACACAGAGGCGCCATAAGTCAAGGGGAAGCCGGAGCGATTTTGTTCCATCATGCATCTGCATGGAAATTCAAAAGGGAAAAAGGGGTGTGGGAATAAGCAAGGCTTGCCTGAGTATGGCAAACTTCTTGTCAGCTACAAGTCCGTTCCCCAAGAAGATATAGTACTAATAGACTTCCGACTCTATGGGGCCAACCTACGGCCCATGACAAATGGGAAATCATATGCTCAAGCAAGACTTACGAATCGAATTTACGTTAACATTGGTATATGAAGAAGAAAAACAAAATGCAAAGGCAAACTTAACGGGATGGACTGGCGTGGATAGCATGTCAGATGCCAATTCCCCCACATAAATCCCACAGTGAACTGCGCTCGGATTGGCTTCCCGTATTCTCCCGGGTCCACTATCCGGCACTTGCCACGAATCAAGAGTCTTCCCGGAATCCTTGCCAGCACAGGGGCTATTTTATAAAGGCGGTGCTTATAGTCGCCATCAGTACTAGATAGATTTGCCAATTCACATTTATGCGCCCTGGAATGCGACATAACTTATCCTACTTTCTTGCGCCCCCCCACCGTTTGACCTGGTCGTACAGCGCCCCCACCATGCGTCGCAACGTCGATGATCAGGCTAGCGAATCCGCCGGCCTGTGGCCGCCAGGCACTGTACGCCTCGAGAAACTCCATGGATCAGATGAAGCCGAACTCATTCTGCAGCCACGACCTTCGCGAGACCCCAACGACCCCTTGAAGTGGCCGGAATGGCGCAAGTATCTGAACTTTGGCCTCGTCATTTTCTATGTCGCCATGGTGGCCGAATTCATCAATGCTGCCACGCCAACCTGGGATCCCATGAACGAAGAACTAGGGTATAGCTTTGAGCTCTTGAACGATAGTTATGCTGCTGGCTGTGCTTCTCTAGCTGTTGGCTCCCTTCTACTGATCCCATTTGCGCTGAAATTTGGACGTCGCCCTATGTATCTGTTTAGCACTGCCCTACAGTTCGGACTGGGCATTTGGTCTGCTCGGATGCAAACGGCGGCGGATCTCATGCTTATCAACGTACTTCAGTGTTTCTTTGGCAGTCTTGCCGAAGTAATTGTCCAGATGACCATTGCTGATGTATTTTTTGTCCATCAGCGCGGCCGAATGAACGCCATTTATGTCTGGGTCTGGCTGCTAGCTAGCTATCTCGGAATTCTCATCGCTGGCTTCATTGCAAAGCGCCAAGGCTGGAGATGGATTTGGTGGTGGAACGCTATTATATTTGGTGTGTCAATGGTTGCCTTCTTCTTCGCATACGAGGAGACCAAGTACAGTCCGCCCGAGCCGATATCAACGCCTTCCCTCGAAACCACAACTGCCACGGCCACTGGCAACACTGAGCACACTGACAAGGAAACGATCTCCAAGGCCACAATCTGTGGAAGCCAAATCACGGCACACAGCCCTGAGGACGGTATTGATCATGCCATTCCTCGAAAAACGTATTTTCAGAGGCTCGCCATTACCACCACCACGACATCTGCCACGAGCTCTACAACAACCTTTCTCAAGCACATGTATCAGCCGCTGGTTCTCTTGGGCACCGTCCCGGCCATTGCTTACGCGTCACTGGTGTATGGTGTCCTCGTTGGCCTGGGAGATGTCATGTCCACCATGCTGTCGACCTTTCTGACCAAAGCCCCCTACGACTTCACCTCTGACCAGATCGGTCTAATGAGTTTGCCCAGAATGATTGGTGTCACGATCGGTTTCCTCATTATCGGACCCATCAGCGATTGGTGGATCGTGTTCCTTTCACGCCGCCGGGGTGGCATTTACGAGCCGGAGACCCGACTGTGGTGCGCTGTCCCATTCCTCCTCTTCGTGCCCGTCGGTGCGCTCATGTTTGGGATCGGCTTGAGCAACCATCTACGGTGGCCTATCATCGCCGTGGGCCTAGCCCTTTATAATGTCGGCGTCACACCCATCAATAGCATCGTCATCACTTACTTGACGGATTCGTATACCGATGTAAGTTGGTACAAAGTGCACACCCCGTTTGAGCAGTTCTACGCTCTTTATTAATAAGAGCATAATGTTGATGAATAACAAAACCAGATCATCGGCCCTGCCCTAGTCGCCGTCACTGTCGTCCGAAATACTTTCAGCACCATCTTTATCTTTGCCCTAACCCCTTGGATCGCCAAGGTCGGAATCAAATGGGTTCTCGTCACGATCCTCCTGATCGCCGGTTTGATCCTTGCCCTGTTTGGTGTTTTCATTCGCTATGGCAAGTATTTCCGTGAGCGAAGTGCTAAGAGCTATCAATATTACGCCAATCGTCAATATAAGGAGAGAGTGGACAAGTAGTTAGGTCTTACCATTGACTAGTTAGGCTTATTAAATGTGTAACGTTATGTCGGGTCCCTACAGGGATATATCGTTGGGTCTCTCGATTACCTATTCAGGGAACCCGCCCTTGTGGGATTACGGCTAAGCTTAGCTGTCGCTGCGAAGAAACTACAATATCAATACTATAGCGCTGTTCAATTGCTTGAGGAGGCTGGGAATGCTTTTGCTTTCAATACGGAATACACCTACGGTTGACATTCTACCACTCTTACTCGCCCTCGCGTTCTTACACGTTACTGTTTCGAACATGCACCCTTGCAAAAGACAAACAGACTTGTTGGCGCTTAGGAACAACAAGCGGACGGCGGGCAATATATGTCTCCTTGATTAGCCGCTTGGCTGGTCGCGGCACGCCAGGTAAATGCGATGGATAACCGTTGGTTCTGCAGCCGGTTCCCAGTCCAGTTCCAACTTCCCAGTTGCCAGAGGGTCCCATATGGCAGAAAGTTCCAGGTCCAGGTCGCTTATCAGATGAGCTATCCAGGGAAGGACATGTGAAAGATGATCGAGGTTCTAGGTATAGAGCATAGAGTTAGATATGAGTAGTAGAAAGGAACTTGTCGATCATAATGCAATAAAATCTCTGCGATGTTCAATTTGGCTAGATTATGCAAGACACGAGGGTTTTCGATCGCAACAGAGGTCTATCCATTATCGTAGGGCGGGCAATTTTTCCGGCTAGGTAGATCTGTCCATACGAAGCTTACCTAACATGGTCTCTTGGAAGGGAGTAAGACCAAAAACAAGAGGGAAAAAGGTTATGAGAGTCGGGCCTTGCTCGTAGCAGCAATGGGTGGATATTGATACAATGATGACCTAGATAAAAGACAATTCATCCTGATAAACGAACGAAATTTATAGATACACCAAGTGGAGTCCAAACACGATAGACATCAAGTACGAACCTGGCGTTCAAGAATCAGCAATGCTCCCTGATGGATTGTTGATTCACATCCTCGTTTGATGAATCAGCAAGATTGGTCAGTTGAACTTCATCCTCCCGCTTGTACACAGAGCCATGATTCTTTGCGACGGTGCTTCCCGGCTTCTGACTCCAGTTCCCCCGGCTGCCCATCGAGTTGTTGGCAATGTACGTGTTACGGCTGGATTTGCTCGACACGGCGCCTCGAAGCTTGCCAAAAATGGGTCGGAGATTAGGAAGGCATGCAGAGACGATTCCGACAGAGGGTTCAATAGATGACTGTGCCACAGGTCAGTATCAAGTGCAACAAGTGATTTGGAGGGACATGAATTGCATACCCAGACGCATATCTCGCCCATGAGCCACGTCATGTCGATGGAATGGGCAAACTTGTACATTTTGACAGCCCGTATTATGCTGACAATGAAGACACTGCACCCAAAATCGTTAGTACCTAGTCAAGTCACCCGCCGCGTGTGGTTGAGTCGTCAACATACAAGCTACCAAGCAACATCATGCCACAGACAGCGACTCTTTTCTTTTTCGACATTTGCAACCGCAAGATAGAGGGGATGGGTGTGATCAATATCAAAAAGTCCATGAAAGCGTTGATGGAACCGTAGGTCCAGAAGAACGTGCCCGTTTCCACCGTGCAAGTCCCACTTGCTCCTCCGAATTGGTTCCAGTAATGTGAGGTGGGCTGACAGGCGCAAACCATGACAATGATAAGAACAAAAGGGATCGTGACGGTGAAGACTGCGGCAGTCCAGAGGCTGATGCCGAAGAAGACATCGTTCTTGTCCACTTGGCTGTCGAAGATGCGTCGATATAGCAGCAAAATTGACAGCTTATTGAATGACAGGCAGAATCCGAGGACGAAAGTGTAGAAAAAGAGAATCTAAGAAAAGAAAAAAAAGAAGTTAGTGAATCGCTTCCCTCTGCGGTATAGAGAGTGCAGACTCTTGACCGACCTTGGCTGCCATTACCAACTCTGTCGATGTGACTGCCCATATGTGTTTCCCTGAGCCATATGCCCCCGTAGCAGCGACCATCCCGACAGCGCCGACGTTGAATATCTGACAGCCTGATTTTAGTCTCCGGAGAGTCTTCGTGAAAAGAATGAGGGTTGAAAGCTTACCAGCGCGACGATAATGGCCCAGTCATCCCAGCCCAGGCCGGCTCTTGAAAGCCTTCTCACCAAAAGGCGCAGGAATACAGCCAACGCAGCTACGACTAGAAGAATAATAGCAACTACATCGTTGGTCAAGACTAGACTTTCCGTAAGATCGACATTGGCTGGTGCTGGGCCAAAGGCTGCCTCAATGATCGGGTCAATCGTCATCACTGCGTGTCTACCACCCGCGTGTCCACCTCAAATTTGTGGATTCGAGCCAACGGTGAATATCGTGATTGAAAGAATTGAGGAGACATTCGTGCGGCATCATGCCGATACTTGAATTTCCATCAAACGAAAAGGAGGCAATATGTTCAGGTTAAAATGCATGCAACGCTACAAGGGGTTCATTCCTGGACCTGCATAACGTCAATTGCCGACAGATTGAGGCTTTGGAAGAACGACGATTCCTACCGTCATGTTGAACAAATGTAGTATAGTAAAGAAACCCGGGGGTTCGGAATACCCAACCCGGTCCCGTCCTTGAGTTTTCCTGGTGAGACGTACAGGGAACCCTCGTTCAATGTGCTAGGGATTGGCCGCCACTTGAAGGAATTGTTATGAACTTTCTGGCAAGGATCTGTTACCATTGTTGCGGAAAACTATGAGTCTCTCTTCTTGCATTTGAATGATCTGACGACTGCCACCCGACTTCCACCTTTTCCATGGCTGGTCCTACAACCAAGGGCTACTATGTCGCTGCAATGGCGCTGTTGGTATCCACATAAATATACTGTGCCGCCCACGCACATTTTTTGACCCATCGTCCCAGATTAATGCCTGAAAATGTGCTTCAGACTCATGACAAGCATGGTACCTGAAAACAGATATGCCAGCAGGAATCGCCTGCTCGTCGACGGCGAAAGCTGATGTCTCAGGTGAGTTCGACGTTGCATGAGCAGACTGGCCACATCATAAGGCAGTGACTGCTAAATGGTAAGTACTATGTAGCAGAGCGTTGTGACTCCACCTCTTCAGTCTGGATCTCTGCCCAGATGCACTGGAGAACTACATTAGGTATGGATCTCTCTCGGGGTCGAGCATCTTCCCGACTCCATTATCAGACCCGCACGCTAGCCATAAATAAATCGCATCTGATGATCGCAAGCCAGGGACTTGTAGCCGATAAGTGCAAATACCAATAAGAAGACACAAGATTAGCATGACGCTCCGTGTCAGCTCACCTATCAATTGTGACCTATAGACCACGATGCAATTAGTATCCACGGTATTGACAGATTATCGAGACTGCCCCAATATGGCGTGTATGGATGCAGATTGTCGCGTGTTCAGCAACTCGCGGCCCCACCACCCGCCATAATCCACCTCCGTCTGGACCATAGGCAGGATGCAGGCTTCCGAGCCTTGCAGTAACTATCTAGTAGGTGAGTATTCGGGTATTTATCGCCAAGATAATTCTGTCTAGAATAAAGTCGTTTCTGTCTGGACAGTAAGCTAGCATAAATGCACTTTTACCACAATTGTGTTGTTTCTTCTGGCCAAAAGGCATCTTGAACATGGTGTTCTTCACCGTCATCATACTGGCCGTCCTTATTGGGCTGGGCTATCATTTCAACAACCGGCTTGGTGAATGGCAGCAGCTTCGCCATATCCCCGGCCCCTTTTGGGCTCGTTTTACGCACCTCTGGATCATAAGGCACATTCTTCGAGGGAGGTACATTGACAAGATGCTTGAGCTGCATGTACAGTACGGTCCAGTTGTCGTCTTGGCGCCCGACGTCGTGTCCGTCAGCGACCCAGCCGAAATCAAGAATATCGGCAAGGTTCGCTCTGCTTGGGGCCGAGCCAAGGGTTACCAAGCTCTGCGATTTGCCCCTGGTCCAGCCGGGGATTCGATCCTCAGCATGCGGGATGACAAGGCGCACGCTCGGATGCGAGCCAAGCTGATGCCGGGATATGCTGGCAAAACTGTGGAAGGAGTCGAACAAATGGTGGATAGACATGTTTTGCAGCTTGCCAACATCATCGACACCAAGTATATCACAACGCCGGGGGCCTACAAACCCATCGACTTCTCCCAGCTGGCGCAGTACTTTACTATTGATATCATCACGTCGTTCGCCTTCCAGGAGTCCTTCAAATGTCTCGAGCGAAACGCCGATTTTCACGGCTATCTCGATGCAGTCAGCAAGGCAGTTGCACCGCTCTTGTCTTTTGCTTATCTCCCGGCATACCAAAAGTTGATGAGTACGCCTGCGCTTGGCGCAATCTTCCCGGAAGGTGGCTTTTTCCCAAAGGTTTTTGAAATGGCTCGTCGTCAAGTAGGCCAGCGATATGGCCAAGAGGCCTACAAGCTAAAGGAGAATAACGACGTACTCGGAACCTGGGTATCGGCTGGCTTGGAACAGAAGGAACTTGAAAATGAGACGGTTGCCCAGCTGACTGCCGGCGGCGAAACGACTAGTACCGGCATCCGAGCTGTATTGCTTTACCTTATTACGTCGCCGCGTGCGTATCGGGCTCTGCAGCGAGAGATTGACGAATCTCTGAAATCAGAGCGTGTTAGATCAAGCCCGCTATCCAAGGAAGAGGCTACGAAGCTTCCGTATCTCCAGGCTGTCATGAAGGAAGGCCTGCGCCTGATAGCACCAGCTGCTTTTTTCCCCAAGAGTAGTACGAAGGATGAGACTATTTGCGGATACAAGATCCCAGCAGGTGTCAGTGTAGAGCCGGCATACAAACCTGCGCTACGCGCCAAGGTCAGTTTGAATCCCTTGTTAAAAAGCTGAGTACAGTGAAGGTGCAGAAGCCCCCGCTAACATGGCACAAAGGACATTTTCGGCGAGGATGCTTCCTTCTTCAGACCTGAGCGGTGGATCGAAGCCACAGAGGAACAACTCGCGATGATGGATGAAACCTTTCGGTTTGTGTAAGTTGCAATCTATGTTCCCTAAATCTACGCTACCTGTATATACGGGAATAATGAGCTAATGTCTCCTCAATTTTAGATTTGGAGGACCCAGCAAGTGGGAATGCCTGGGAAAGGATTTGGCCTTTATGCAAATGCACAAGATCATCTTTGAGTTATTCAGAAAATTCGATGTCACCCTCGTGGATCCAGCGACGCCATGGAAGGCCGCAAGCACGCGCATCTGGGGCATAGAAGATTTCAACGTCCAATTCACTAGAAGGGAACAAGCACAGTAAACCCAAGGTCATCAGAGTCGCGAAAATTACAAGCTCGAATAACAGCGACAGCTCAGATCACCAGATACGACCAGTTGCATAGTCACATTATGACACCAAGTAGCAGATTAGGACTTACCAGATTCCTATTTGGTCTAATTACATCGATGTACACTTTGTCAAATGCCACGAGCATGCAAGAGCTCAAGATGTACCGCGAACATTTGGCATCCAGAGGTATGCTGTAATTCTCTTGGAAATTTTATTCAGTCACTAGCTGTAGCTATAAACAGGCCAAGATCATTTACAACAGCGCAGACTACCACTTTTATTGTTGATGGCATTCCGTACACCAAGGTGTGTTCCAGCTAATACATCTATACAATTATGCCATTGCGTCTAAATAAATGTACGAGGCTCCTAGGCAAAAGTCCAGTGGGTACATCCCAAGCACGAGCACATCATCATTGGGGTGATTTTAGGTATTTGCCAATGGAAAAGTCACATCGCTGCCATGATTGCAGTTACTGTTTTCCTGCTATAGCAATGTTGTAACATGCATGTCTTGTTTTTATTTTTGAGTGCTTACATTCTAGGCTCCACCCTCGAGTCTGGAGTGGGGGAATTTGTCAGTGCGATTGGCCGTGATCATCTGCTTATACCGCCAAGCTTCCGGCCAGGAAATAAATACTTGCAGCCGAAAGCATCTGGAAAAAGTCCCCTGCTCCTCGAGTTTCCCTCCGGCCCCTCCTTCTTTTCCTCAGATTGGCCATCATTGGATGCACACTCTGGCTTTTTGAATAGGCCTCTTCTCAGGCATATATATGTGCGTTCTTGGCTCTCTTTATGCTGCATATTCAGCTCGACCCATGACCAAGTGGCCGCTACTGTCACTGCAGCTACGTCCTGTAGCATATCTACAAGGGGATATATGAACATTCAGCTCTCCAATATGGCGAACAACATTGGAATGTTATACGAAGAGTTTGAACTTCCACCAGACGTTGATTGCATCCGTGTTTTGGACATTCTGCCAGTCCCTGCAGGTACTTTATCTGGCCGGAAACCCCAACTTCACAGCCTTGTCATACGTTTGGGGCAATCCAACTCCGCAATGCGCTATTTCGTGCAACAATGTCGAGGTTCCAATCACAAAGAATTGCCATATGGACCTAGGGCATCTGCGGCAAAAGCTTGGGAGCTTTAGCGTATGAGTAGAAGCCGTGAGCATCAACCAGATAGATTCCGAGGAGAAGACACGACAGATCCCACTCATGGGAGAAATCTATGCCAAAGCTGTAGCTGTGTACGTATGGCTCGGCCCAGGTATTCCCAGTACAGATAGAGCCGTGGAATATCTGTCGACCGTCGGCTCCAGCCTGTTCGCATACCTTGATATCCTTCCAGATGGGACTAGAAAGCGTCATCCATTTGCTGCCGCATGGTCTTTATATCTGCGCTCATTTCACCCAAAGAAAGACCCGTTCCCTTATCCCTGTACGTACTCATATATTGATCAATCGACAGGCGAAATGAGCTAATCTTTGTAGCGTCGTCGAAGCCTAGACTTTCTCGAGACACACTCGTAAATAGAGACGATCTTTCGAATCTATTAGATCAGCCGTGGACACATCGTATATGGACTTATCAAGAGATCCTACTGGCGTCGCACCCTGTAGTAGTATGTGGGAGCTCGCATATACCGTGGCAAGAATTTATATGGAGCATTGTGCTGCTCTCTCACCTTCAACCGTTCAAACATACTGTCGATGTATGGGCGAACATTGCATTCATTAGAGACAACTTGCATTCATCGCCAAATCCGACAGCCACGAACATGGGAATCAACCTCCGTGAATACGCGAAGTTCGTCCGCCGAGTCCTGGTAATCCGACATTGGCTTTGGCGCTTGGTCCTCCTCTTGCCTTCCGTAGTCGGAATAGTCCTTACTGTAATTGGATTTTCCCCTCCAGAACGCATTGATGAAGGTAATTCCCGTCTATACGTGGCGGGACCAGGCCTTATTCTTGCAGGCCTTGTATTTGGAGGTGCCGGAATTAGGCTCATCATACCTTACCCTGGGCGTCCTTTCCCCGTTGCGTATGACGATTTTCGACCACATAATACAGAAGCTTCTCAAGTCGATGACCTGATGGGCGGTGTCATTCACCGTGAAGCTACAGATCCAATTGACATGGCGTACGGTCTATGGTCAGTTCTTCAAAAGAGAGGAGCACACAATCCCCCCCTCGCGACAAGGACAACTCCAATAGGTGAATTATATTGGATTCTTGCTCAGGAGCTCATCCAGATTACTGCGTCTCTCGACTTCCTTTGGATTGCCGCGCGATATGGTCAAGCAGAGCCCGGGTATCCGTCGTGGGTGCCTGACTGGTCTGCAGGCAAAGACGATAAGAAGAGATACTATGGGATCGGTCCTGTTGGCTGGAGGCTTCTTAGTCAAGAGGCCAAAAGACGACAAAAACAGCGTGAAAGAGGCAATCAAGTGTTATCACTCGACCCGACAGGACGCGTTCTGACGGTGCGAGCGCTTGATTTCGGCAGCGTCTACGACTGTTTCTCTTTCCACAAAACTAGCGCAACAAACGATGATAACAACAAGATCCTGAATTTTGAAAACCTGATTACCGACAAGCTACTGCATATGGAGAACCTGCGAACGATGGTCTCGTATTGGCGATGGTGTGTTGATCACTGGCAGCATCCATCATTTATATTCGATGGCGCGGAGCTACTCGAGTCTATCAATCGCGAAGTCACGCTTTCCCCATGGGTCAAAACGTTACGTTCGAGATGGCGAAGAGAGAGTCTCGAGAAACTCTTCCGGTCATGGTTAACAGGCCGCGTCGATTCACCTACATGGTTTCTACGGTTCTTGTCCATTCATTTGAAAATTTGCGAGCTTGTTTCCCATCGAGACGTCAGGATAATCACGCTTAAGATATGGTCGAGCAAAAGCTACATGTTCAACGTTCCCAAAGCACAAATTGGTGATCGAGTCATCCGGGTATGGGGGCTCCCACACTTTCTTTTGGTGCGTAAGCTTGCTGCATCTAGCAATTCGGCTACACTGGTGGGTACCATTGAAACCTCTAGTACTCGTCAGGTCTTGAAACAAGGATTGAACGAGCTTTGGGGCACCTACACCGTCTCTGAGTATTCCGAATACCAGATATTGTAATGTGATTCGATCAGTCCCCAAGACTGTTGGCCTAAGAAGTAGCCATCTTGCCCAGGTTATTTCCCTCTCAATGTTACGAATGTTGCGGAGTTTGTCGGCTTTGCGGCATTGAAGGACCACAATCAGGCTGCTTTCCATGTCGAGATGAGACGACTTTGAATATCAGTTGTGGCTTGGCATCGCCCAGCCTTGAAGACAGGACATAGGAAAAGGATCGAATGAGTGGGCGGGTCAGGCGAGAAGAACGATCTACTTAAATACTGGGGACTATCACATTTATATTTTCTTTGCAAATATTCATTGAATTCTACGTCATCTAGATTTTCTCAAAGTCATCTCGTAGTGCGCAATCTGTAGCTGTGTGACTTGGATGCTCTGGGGCCATGAATGATATGGAGCGTGCCAGCAGCTGATTAGGGTTGAATCTTCCACGGCTCATCAGTAAGGGGGAAAAAAAGAAAAGTGAATTTTTGGGCAAAACCATTGAGACATGCGTCGGAATTGAAGGTATTCTTCTGCTCAATGCTATTGTTTTCTTATTCATGCGGTTGAAGCTCAGGGCTGGTGCGGGTTCAAGTGGGGCTTCGCTACAGTGAGGTGGTCCGCTAAACAACGTGGCCGGAGGGGAATACAAATACCTGGTACGGCACATTGTCAACATCATCACCGAAATGATCAAATGGTCAATCGCGGCGTAAATAAAAGATACATTATACCGAAGCGCCATGTCTTCAATGAAAAAAGCCGTCCACCTGGCGTTCTGTCTCGCGTGGGTTGCAATCAGTGCCAGCGGCGCAGATGATATCGACGCAGGCCACCAAGTCCCACTGCAAGGTGAGACTGCAGCGGATGCCCATACAAGACAACACCCAGAACTGCCTGTATTGGGCTATGTCACGCCATGGCATTCCCGGGGAAAGCAACTGGTTGAAGAGTACCGCAGCAGCTTTGACATTGTCTCTCCGGTCTGGTACACTGTCCACCCGACCCAGGACGATGCAGAGGTGTACACGGTGAGGGGCGGACCGCCAGACAAGGACGACGAGGAGTGGTATCTGCGACTACAGAAGCCGTCACCAGCTGGGTCGAAACCGCTCCAGATTGTGCCAAGATTCTTCCTCGATGGCTGGATGCAAGATGACTTTCGACAATTAGTATTCAACGAGACCCGATGGTCGGGTCTTGCCAGTGCCATTTTGCGGGTCGTCGAGGACATGTCGTTTGATGGCGTGGTTTTCGAATCGGCCGTCTCGCACGCCCTCCACGGTCCGCTCTCTGAGCTTGCGCAACGTCTTTGGGACAAGGAGAAGACCATGGTCCTTGTGCTCCCTCCCACGAGGAAGCACGATGAGTCACTCAACGATATATCAGAACAGACTGTAACGCTGCTCGCCGATGTAGTCGACTACTTCAGTGTCATGACCTACGATATGACGGGACCTGGCGGGAACGAATGGGAGGAGCCGTTTCCAGCCAGCAGTCCCCTTCATGCAGCGCAACAGCAGCACAAGGTCAGAGTGCCTGGCCCCAACACCTCTGCTGCTTGGATCCGCCATAATATCATGGCCCTGAGCAAGCAGGAATATGATGGCCAACAAGAGTTCTCGAATCTTCAGTCGAGAGATGCCTCTAAAAAGGTGGGATTGGGAAAACTTCTAATTGGTCTTCCACTCTACGGCTACAAGTACCCTGTCCTTTTCGCAGATAAAGACAAGGGTAGGATCATTCAGGGAAGCGACGGAGAGGAAGATGAGCTGTGCATCTTGAGGGGACCTGGCGAGGCAGTGGTAATGTCTCAGATTGAAGAGCTGATCGAAGAACACCAGCCAGAGTTGCAGAGAGACGACGACGACGAGCCCGAGTATTACTTTGATTATATGGAAGATGGCGGTTCTTGGAGGTTATACCTGCCCACGGCAAAGAGCATGGCGAAAAGTCTCAAGGCCATCAGCCAGAGCTCGGAGAGTCTGGGCAGTGCTTGTGGTGTCGCGTTATGGGAAGTAGGGCAGAGTTCGACAGAGCTTCTGCTTACTCTCTAATCACCAATAGCATCGTAGGTTACTCTACACCCGAAGTTGAGGCTGTTATCAAGGGTTTGTTATTCCTTGCTCTGCAAACTTGACAGACATGCGTGCTTGGCCCTTGATCGAGCTCTTGTCTTGTTCTGCAAGTACACTTGATCTGTCGTGACCGGGATACAGCGGAACCAGTGATATTTCATCACTTTTCTGAATCCAGAATTCCTCATAGCCTGTGGGCTGGAACCCTAATTTCTCAAAGGTGTTTGCTCCATCTTTTGTCGCTGTCAAGGCTGATGGACAAGCGGATGGTCAGCATGCATTGAGTGGAATGGGCTTTTCAAGAATCAAACAAATTGTGCAGCAACGTGGACTGACCAGAACATCCCAATACATTCCACCCTATCGCTTTCGCAACCATGTCTGCATAACCAATAGAGAATCTGGTGAATCCCTTGGCGTGTTCGCTGAGTCTTTCCACATGGAATACGTGCAGGCCAACCGCACAACCTGCAACATCTTTGGGCGCAATCATACTGTTGGCATCAATGTCCGTCTCTCGCAGCTTACCCACCAGCAAATCCTGCCACGGCGCTTCTCGCAAGGGAAGAGCAATGAGGACGCCTGCAACTACGTCTCTCTTGCGATTCTCTTTGCTTCCAGGTTGGTCCAACAAGTAAAAGCTTTGCGACAGCTGGGGGCTAGCAGTGACCCAACTCTGCAGACGCGCGTAGGTCAGAGGAGCCGGATACATGTCTTGGTCGGACGAGAAAATTTGCTGTAGCACATCCTCCGTCATTGGAGAGGCCGCCAAAGGTGGTGTGGTGTCCATGATCACCATTGGGCAGTCCTCGTTGAACATCCAACAGGCCTGTCACGGGCGTCAATCGTCCAAATGCACGTTCATGGGTGGATTCGTTGAACGGCTTTTTGAGTCGGGGAGTCTGGTGGCTGGGCAAAAATGCAGTTAATGTACAGCAAGTGGGGGTGAGGGGTGGGTGGTTTGATACACCCGCTCACACAAAAGACTATAGACAAACTCAAACAATCATGCGATTGACTTTACTCTGAATACGATAATTGAGCTAATGAAGAAACTAATAGCATTTATGTTGTGTAAAAATCATCGATGCAAAGCATCATAATCTTTCCAATACGAAATAAATTGGGCTCATTAGACCAGTGCGAAAATGGATGCAGCAATCTATGAAAAGGCCTGCTGAGCGTCCAACCTGGGCAGACCGCCTGACGTCTCGTAACTCCATGATCTTTAATGGGTTGATGCAGTCCAGCATGCTATTGAATCCTCCAAGCTTTGTCCGACCACAAACAAGTGTAAAATCCCATCACGGAATAGAGTTTGCTGGGGTTAATTCAGCTCCTCAAATGGTGTATAGACCTTGGACATATCAACCGGGCGCAGTGACAGGTCTTGGCACCCGTTTCCTGTTACAGAGTGACAGTGCTTGCATGAGCTGAGGACATCCCACGTGCAGAACCTGGCAGACAGCGACTTCTGCCACTGCAATCGGGGCTCAGCAGTATAAGAGGTGCCCTCTCCCCCCATACCCCCCTCTCCTTCTTTTTCTTGAGGGGGGATCCAAGAACTACATACCTGACCATGACCATGACCAACCTCCGACATGCATTATCGTGAACTAACCCTATGTGTAAGTCGTGATTATGTGTATTAACAGTGTAAACCAAGACCGAGCTGTGTCGTCACAGCTTGACGGCCACGCGGCCTTGGTCTCGATAGAAAGCCAGCATAGTCGGCAGCAGCGCCTCTCCAAGACTCCAAGTCGAGGTCAAGAGGGAGGACATCGCACGAAGAGCTGAGGAAGGACTATAGAGCCAGGTATAAGTATTGAGGATTCCCTTGGGAAGTTGAACTTCCCAGCTCTCTTCTTATTTTCAATGCCAGAGTGAACAAGACTCCCTCCAGTCATCGACAAAGTATACCACAAACCCAAAGATCGTGAGCTTCATTTCCAAGGACAGTGATACCATCATGACGACCACCAAAGAGAATAAACTACACCAAAGTGAGTTTCCGGCAACAGCCCTCGTAGGAAGATGCCCTACTAAAGATTGGCTTACAGCAAAAATTGTCGACTTCTTCCGAGGTAAGCATAACACAGAAATTCGTAGGAAATAGATGAATAGTACCCAGAGACGAGCCTAACACTTTTCCACACCAGTTGCAGCGGCTCCCAGAACATACCGACAATGTGAGTAGCCCTATCAATTGAACCGGATGGGATAGTGACCTCATCTAACATGCCCTTTCTCACTCCAAAGCCACCATCAAACAGTACTACAACAGCGCGAGTCGAGGTACTGCCCCCTCCACGCCCAGGTCGAATAGATGGCGAGCAGGACCGTACCGTCGACCCGCGATACCGAGCTCCAGCCGCGTGCCCGTCAGCCCCTCGAGCAGCACCAAGAAGAAGAAGTGCACATACTGCAAGACGGGCAATCTCCTGGCGACACCTCCCACGACTGGGCACAGAAAGTATGCTACTCCCAAGTGCACCGAGTGTCGACAGTTTCTCTTTTGCGACTCGGACCAAGAACGGGACGGGCTCTGGGGACCATGCCCACGTTGTCAGAGGGGTCATCGGGAGCGTTTTATTTGCAGTGTCTTCAACTTTAACAACGCAAATAGGCAGTATTTCAAGTGCAGCAAGGCAGATGATGGGTGTAGGTATTTTGAGTGGAAGGGCGGAAATTAAAGCTCTGGATTAGGCTTTTGTTTTCTGTTATTCTCGTTTTTATTTTGCTGTTTTTAAAATGTTGGGCTCATGCTTAAATTTCCTGTTGGTTCCACAATGTCTGTAGTTGATTGAATTTAGTCATGAGAACGCTGCTGCTCTATTCCAACTTGAACAGAAAGTCGCCTAGTATACATACACACACACAAGCCTCAATGTTAAAAAATGCCATGTCATCACCCATGATGTCTCGCCCCTCGGTTGTCAAGAAATCGGAAACCCAAACGCCGGATTTGGTATCATCTGAATGCCAGTACAGTATTTGCGAAAACCATGATCTACAAGAAATAGTCGGATGGTCCACGCCTGCCAGCAGGAACATGTCTCATGTCATCCGGCACAGCCGAGAAGATGCTGAATTTGGGGTCCAAATTCTTATCGACCGTCATGATGGATGCTACATTTCCACAGCGGTAGCAGTAGTTGGGCGCCGACCACACTGTCACAACCGAGTTTTGCGGAAAGTGGAATTTGTAGCCTTCATTGACCAGTTGATGGGCTCGAGCGATCAGTTTGAGTCCATTGACGTGGTTGAACTCTGTCGCGACCTTGTCTCCGAAAAGCCAGCCAGCGCCACGTGGACTGATTGCCCATGTATCAATGTCTTCAGGGTCACTCCAGACAAGATCACAGAAGGCGCCCTCATGAGGAATCTCCTGTGCTCGAGCGACAACACGAATTTGGTCGATAGTGCGAATCTCGGGTGACAGTCCACCGTGTACACAGAGTACTTCGCCGTCAACAATGGCTGCCAGGACCAGGAAGTCAAAGACTTGACAGCATGCCTTCCATACACTGGCATTGCCGTATTTCTGCTGGCATTCCTCGTAAAAGCCATAAACTTGTGTGATTTGACGAGACTCGTGGTTTCCACGGACAAGAATGATACGATCGGGATACCTGACATCAAATTAGCAAGGTACGGGAGGCATGAATGTCTTGCAAGGACTTACTTGGCCTTCAAGCACATGAGCAGTGTAAATGTCTCCAAGGAGAAGTAGCCTCTGTCCACAAAGTCACCGAGGAAGACGAATCGCATGTTGGGGTTGTTCACACTCGGTGTAACTTCCTGACTTGTGGGCCGGGAAGCACTTTGAGCAGCCGGGTCAGGAGAATGATCATCGTCATCGTCATCGGCGGCTTCTGTCTCGATGCTCTCGCCCTTGCTGTTTCGGCGCATCTTGATCTTTTTGCGCAGCCTCGGGTTTGTGATCTCGGTAGGTGGCTCAATCATGTCGGCGCTGATGATGGGTTTGGTACTCTTGGGCGCTTCGAGGGCAGTCTCTCCTGGCATACCGCCAGCGACCCGGAAAAGCTCAAGCAAATCGTAGAATTGGCCGTGGATATCTCCGCATACTGTGACAGGAGTGACAACGGGCTGGATGTTGCTTTCTGCGAACAATCAAGTCAGATCACGATTGATGGCAAAGGAGACAAGCGGATCAGAAGAGCATACCCTCCATCAAAACTTCCTTAACAATCTCGCAGAGCTGCTTCATCACCGACTCAGGCAAATAATGACACTGCTTGGCTTCCTCGAGCCATTCGTCGAGGCCGGCATTGGCGCTGAGCTTTGCCGGCCCGGGCTTGGGCACTGACGATCTCGGCATATTGAGAGGGGCGCCGAGATGACTGGAGGCTAGATGGTGATAGCCACGACCCGCGAGTTGAGCGGCGGGAGGAGTATTACCCCAGATCAAGTCGAATCAAGGTCGAGTTTCAAGATGCAACGATCTCGAAAACCTGAAAGCTGTATCAATGGTTGAGGGACCCGCGGCTCGGTGTTTGGTGGGCTCCCTGGAGTGGTAGTGGGCGTATCGAACGTGGCCCAGGTAATCAGTCGTGGAGCCAAAGTTCGGTGCAGGTATCGGTCTCGAGCGGTGGAGGAGATGGCGCCCGGGGCGATTGATTACCAAAAACCGGCGCGGGCTCATAGGAAGGATTGATCGGGCGGGGGGTTGCACTAACCGGGGAGCTGCAGTTCCCTGGTGATAAGTATTGAATTTGGAAGATGTTTACCAAGGCTCCAGCCAGTCTTGCTGTAGCTTGGATATGGAATACACAGTTTTCGAAGACACATTAGAGAACCGCCCAAAATCTTTTATACTTGTCCCCTTCTTGTTGTTTCCCAACCTGATTGTTGTCTACTGCACAAATGGACAATTCGCACATTTCATCCAAGCATTGAATAATGCATAGTTATGCGGCTAACCATTGAGAGGCAGGTTGGCGCCAATCCACTCCAGTAGAGGTCCCCTGCTAGCTTATCCTGGGCTCGTTCACTTGCTTATCGGCCTGAACCCCCCACCAACATTCCCATCGTCAGTCCAACACTTTCACATGCGCTCGCGACTAATGAAATGATCTCTGGATCGATTTCGGCGCTGCTATTTTGTGATTTACCTGCACATGCTGTAGCAACGGTCGCTCTCGCCCTTACTTGATTTCGACTTATTTTCTAGGTTCGCCTTGTCGCGTCAGTCACCCGCCCGTCGATCCACCAATCGTTTGCTGTCAGTTGCGGCACGCCCAAGCTCTCCTTCCGTTGTTAAAGCAAGCAGACTGTCCTTGTCCTTTTCCACATTCACTCCTGCAACATCAAATCATTGTCGGCGAACACATACGTCTAAGTTCCCTCCGCTGCAATGCTCCATCTGGGTCCCTTTGCGCATCCGAAATCGAGCCCATCTTCATAGCCCACTGTCTTGGAACACGACGATCACTTATCAAGTAGCACAACTTCAACTGGCCAAACCCACCATGGCGACCGCCGCTCGTACACAGAATGGCGTCACAACGGGATCAAACGCCACCGGTGAAGGAGGCAGAAAGTCCAAAGCCCAACCCACCGGCCAGAAGCTCATGATCCGACACCTGCCGCCACTCATAACAGAGGAGGAGGTACAAGCTATTCTCGGAGAGGAATGGATGATTGGCAACGGCAAGGTTGACTGGGCTCAGTTTCACGCAGGCAAGGTGTCCAAGAGGTATGCCCATTTTTGCGCCGATCCTGTCATCTCTGATCTCCTTTGAACACTGGTCACTGACTCCTCACAAGTGCTTTCAAGGAGCCTCGGCCTTCCATGTACACACTTCACGTTGTCAAGGAAGAGGACGTCTCTGTTCTCAAGGACTTTATCCTGCGAGCAACATGGCATGACGCTAAGAACTCACACACCATGCTTAACTTTCAGGTCCATGCGCAGAACGTTTCAACCCGTGTACCTATCGCCAAACATCGAGTCGACCCCCGACAGGGCACTATCGATCAAGACCCCGAGTTCCAAGCATTCCTACACGACCTCACCCAACCAAAAGAGTCTCAACCGAAGGACATTGAAAATGGCGATCAGCTTACATCGAGCCCCGAAGAGCCAGGCAAGGAAAGCAAAATCTCCCATCTAGTTAGGTACATTCAGGAGAAGAAAGCTGCCAAGGCCAAAGAGGCTGCTGCCGCGAAGACTGCTAGACACAGCCGACAGGAATCGCAAAGTAACAAGACCAAGACTGGAGATGACTCCAAGAAGAAAAGCAAGGAAAAGAGCGGCGCTGACAAGCCGGACAAGGAGAAGGAGAAGGAGAAGACCAAGGAGCCTACACCTAAAATCCTGACCAAGAAGGCTGCTGCTACCCAAGCTTCCACTGCCGAGGCCTCGAAACAACAAACTGGCCAAACTGCAGCGGCCAAGCCTGCAGAAGAGGCCGCTCCGAAAAGCCGACGTGCTAATATTGCACAGGCTGCCAAGATCCTGCAGCGCGATCTGGGCCTTTCCCCCGGTAGTGCTCATCGACGAGCTCGGCAAAATGCGGCAAAGGCTGAAGGTGCATCCACCACTGAACCTCCTACTGGCACATCCACCGAGAAGACAGTGGAAGAGACCAAGGAAGTCAAGGAGACCAAGGAGCCTAAAGAATCCAAGGAACCCGAAGCTCCCAAATCAGCTCCTACTGGCCCAAAGGCGCAGGGCGGCGAAGGGTCTCGTAGATCACGCAATAGAGGCAAGGGCGCCGCCAGCGCCGCCAACACAACAGAATCAGCCAAGGGCAAGGCTTCAGATGGTGCAGCAGCAAAGCCTACCACTGGACCTGTTATTTTGCTGAAAAAGGAATCCAGCAAGAAAGAGGACACTGCATCTGGGGCAGCTTCATCGCCCACCACTCCCGCTACAACTTCAACTCCGACCAACTCGACCTCGACAAGCACCGCTGCCCCTCCGACGGGCCCAAAAGCCGGTGCCGGAAAAGGAAATAGCGGAAAGTCCAACAATCAGCCACAACAAAAGAAGGCTGCTGCACAACCAACATCAGGTGCCGTTCGCGCCTTTGTGAAGCATGCCAACCCTTCTCAAGGCATCACGGAACCTCTGCTCAAACAGGCCATGGAAGCATTTGGCTCGGTCACATTTGTCGAGATAGACAAGCGAAAGGGGTTTGCCTATGTTGACTTTGGTGATGCTGAGAGTCTACGTAAAGCCATTTCAGCCAGCCCAATCTCCATTGCCCAGGGCACTGTTCAGGTCCTCGAACGGAAAGACAAGAAGCCTGCCGCACCTACCAATGCTGCCACTTCAACCCCGGCGGCACAGCCGTCTGCCTCGGCCGAAAAAGCTGCCGCCGACTCGCAGACACCCACTCCTGCCACAGCTTCAGCTTCCACTGATCGACCTAAAAGGGGAAATCGTGGTCGCGGACGCCGAGGAGGAGCAGGAGCTGCTTCTGCCAATGCTACATCAGCCGCCAATACCACTACTAGTAACGACACTGCACCTGTAGCAAACCCTCCAGCGACGGGATAGGACTCGACGCCTTTTGGATATGATATCGTACACACAAGCCGCGTCGACGATGAGTGGGCCGATGCAATCCCCAAATTTTGATACCTAGAGCCACGACTTCTCCTGGCGGACAACACGACCACATAACTTGCACTGTGACTGTTCGAGTATAAATTAGTTACCATTCCGCCGATGAAGAACAAGTCCTGCTCATCAAGACAGGCTGCTGGGCTTTGCTATCATGACTCCCCAGCTCATCGAGCAGTTCTGACTAAATTTATATTTCCGGCAGGTGCCCTAGACCTGATAGTCTGGTGATTGCCTGCCCCCTAGAGGTGGAATCCTTGAGTCGAAAAGGGTTTCCGCACATCTCTAGTCGGTCATACCTAAGAGTTCTATAGCCTGATGCAGATACTCCGGTGCTGCTCTCTCAGACAAATACATCGAGATATCCACGCAGCAAGACGATCCACATCAGACAGCTTATTTGTTATAGTGGATTCCTTCTGCCACTGTGGCCAAAAGACTTGATCTAGGTATAGTCATTCGCCCAAAGCCACCACGTGTGACTTTAAATAGAGGCGAGAGAATGACTTGATTATCATTATTGATCAATACAAACCGTTCATACATTGACATGTACAAATTCCATGGCCCGAGGTCGAAATGATTCCATGTGCCTTTATTCATAAGTACTTTCTCTCAACACCAAACATTGCAGAAACTAAACACATTGAGCTCTCTTAAGACTTTATCTGTCGAAACAATTTCGGCCTGGTAGTAGACCACCGCCGAGCGTGTGATTGTGGGAAAATGGCGCATCTTGGTATTAATCTTAGAGGCGTGTGCTGAACGTATTAAGGTTCGGTGAGTGCTGTCCAGCAGCGCCCTCTCATTTCTCTACCGCTCTGCTGGAGCATTTGTCCTGCACAAAACTTTCAACACGTTTGCTCATAGGGTATGGCCAAAGCAGGTCCGGGTGTTTACTTTCTTTTTCACAAATCCAAAATGTCTATGGCACTGTAGATGGTTTCTGAAAAGAGGGAAATGCCAACAAGGATGATAAACCAAGATTATAACATACAATTACAGCTAGCTTTTCCGCACCCTCTGCTGATCAGGAATAATCACTTTCAGCTGCCCGTGTAGAAGGGGTTTTTCTTTGCTTTCTTTTTCTTGCGCGAATCACCGTTGACCCGCCTTCTCACGTATTGTAACGGGAGCAAACCTTGCTTCTTGCCCAGAATTCAACACTAAAATTGCGGCAAACTTGAATGAACATATCTTGGCATATAGTGCCATACTTGATACCGTCGTCAATCTATTTATGGGATGCATGGGTCGTTGTGAAATCCACCAGTTGACGTTGCTACTACATGGTTTTGCCTGTTGTAACAAGCGGTACATTGCCAACTATTACCATGCAGTTGATGTTTGTAGCGGCCTCGTTGGTGGTGGCGGCTCTTGCGGGACCTGTTCAGGAGGTTAGAGCTCTTCAACAAGGGTTTTGCAATGCTCATGGCCCAATCATATCCGCTTTCAGGAGAGAAGCCAGAGCAACAGAGTATTGTTCAAAGTATCTCGGTTACGGGACTAAGACTGCGTAGGAATTTCTTCTCAATACAGATGCGCATACTAACAACCAAAAAAGCACTTGGACGTTTACCGCCATCCCGACTACAAAACATCACACCCATTGGGTAACGAAGACGGGTAGTCCAGTGACCACCACGACCACGGTCACTAGAACTCGTGTTACGACTCATAGAGGAACAAGTACGGTCACAGTCACCAGCGTAAGTCATTTTGAGCTTCAGATTAACCTCTGGCTGATAAACGTGTGACATAGACCGACATCATTACCAGCAGCATAAGCGACTGCACCACTGAGCAGACACCAGTCCCAATAGACAAAAGACAAGGTCGCCATGGTGGCTTCGGGGGTCGACAGGGTGGAAGCCCAAGGCGCCCGACTCATTTTCCGCCTCACTGGGGAAAGCCATCTCAGTCGGCGGCTTGTTCATGCTTGCCCATAATCTCGGCAATTACTACAAAAACAAAGACAAAGTACAGAGTAGGTCGCAGCACAGCTTATTCCCAAATTCCAATAACCTTTTGAAAAAAAATAAGCTGATATGATAAAAGATTGCAAGTATAGACACGGTGACCAGTACACATACAGCGCAGAAAACACAAACAAGGTTGGTTTCTGAACGTAACTCATTACGACTCCTAAGCTGACTGGGGAAGCACCATAACTACCACTGTCGTATCAAGTCGTACACTCGGGTCAACAATCACGACAACCACAACTGTAACCTTGACATCATCACCAGTCGATCCGACGCCTGCTGGCCTTCGGTGTGTGGACCCTTCAGATCTATCTTGAGAAGATACATTTCGTACCCAGTCATGGATTTTGCTGACGTATTGACATGTATCTACGTCCAGGGTCAATGTATTCCACAGTCCATACAGCGATTGGGAAACTGATGAGCCAGACCCATCATACTTTAAGGGCAAGACCCCTTTGTACACTGGCACCATTGATGACCTCAACTTTAGCACCGACACGGACGGGATGCTACTCAACCTAGGCGCAGTGCCCATCAACGCCAGCCAAATTGCCGTTGTCGCGCAGGGTTACTTCCGGGCCAAGCACACCGGCAGCTACTACATCGGGTCGACGGGTTTTTCCACTGACGATTGGGCCTTCATGTGGACCGGTAAGAAGGCATTTCAGGACTGGGATCTCGACAATAGGGACGGCGAGGCGTTTGGCCACCGGCTGGTCGTCAATGAAGACATGGGCGTCCAGTTGAACAATCTCGACGAAGGCCAATTGGTCCCTTTTACCTACCTGTGGATCAATTACCTCGGCGCAGGGCAGAGTAACTTTTTTATTGATGATGCTCTGAGCTTTGACCTGAGCTTTGACAACCAGGGCTGGTTCATTTGGGACTGTGATCCGAATGCTTTCACCATTTGAGCCGTCAACTTGGACAGCTGGCACCATGTCGCTTAGCACTGGTATAGGCAACTGTGAGGAGCGGGCAATTTGGAATAGTTTTTATCCCTTGTTACTGCTGTTTCCTCAGTACAATGTTACAACAGCTCTGTTCTCCTCGTTGAACCACAGGTATTCAATGTAAAGTGATGCACGAATATAAAGTCTGGACCAAGACCTCCGCGTGGAGATTTACATGGTTCGTCACTTTTTCAGGGCTTCAGTGTATACGCCATTGGTGTACCTATCTGCTATTGCAGTGAATAAAGTTGCGTGGGGGTTTGGGGTAGCATGAAACGAAGCGAGCCGGCAGACCTCATGTGTCAATGACTAGAAGATCCGCCGATCTCTTATAACTTCATGCCCCTCGATGCGGAAGTTCGCCAAGCCTTTCTATAGGACGCGTCAGCCGCTCGGTAATATGAGATGGAAATGGTACACTGGCTATACCGTACAATTGCCTTGCCTCTATCAAGACCCTGAACCACGCCAGTCGAGGTGGATACCAGGGATCGGAACCTGCGCGGCAGATCTCCGCCACATGCCGAATATGGCCAAACAGACAGCTGGATGACTGCCGAAAAGGGAAAGTCAAGTTTCGCTGATATTCCGCGATTTTGGTTACACGTTTGCTCATGGTGACCAAATACTACTCTTTTGTTATGACGAGCCATTCGGTGGCGCGATTGACACAGGTCCGGGTGCTCCCACTCTGCCGAATCATAGTCACCCGAACCACATACGATGCGCATACTTGCGGAAATATATCATGAGCTAGAGCCGGAATCATTTTAGCTTGGAAGAGAAGAAAAGTCTTGGCATTTGTCTGACTATAGGCTTTTTGTTCTTGCTCAAACAAAATGCAAGTGGCCAGGGCTATCTGCGCCGTTGCAGCGCTTGCTGGCTCAGCTAGCAGTCGCGCGACTAACACGAGTACGCCAAAGCAGCCACTATTGGCCGACGGTATCGGTGAGTTTGAATAACATGTTCCTTGAATAGCATGATGATCATGATTCTGACTTGTCGTGATTCTTTTCAGTCAATCTTGGTATTGCGACAGACGCCTACAACAAGGCAAAGGCATTCGTTGCCCTGTTGAACAATGAGCAAAAGATCAAGATCATTGGTGGCCAGAGCTTTGATGATGGCAACGTCTCCTGGTCCGGCTACAGTGGCCAGGACGGCATCAACAGCGTGAACAACCAGGCCTACGTTTCCGGTTTCTCGACCGCTGCCGCCGTGGGCATGACATGGAACCCGGATCTCGCCGAGGCGCAGTACAAGGCACTAGGTTAGTATCTGGCGAACGTTGGCTGGTGCATTTTTGTGTGAGCTGAACTGACGGGTATATCAGGCGAGGAATTCTACGGCGTTGGTAGCAACCTGATCAATGCCGGTGTGTCCAGTCCCAACGGCCGCATTGCGTGGTCGGGCAGACTGGGTGAGTCCATCTCCCCGGAGCCCTACTTGTCTGGCATCATTGAGGCACGAACAGTTCTTGGGTTCAACTCGGCCGGTGTGATCCCGGTTGGACGACACTTTGCAGTGGACGAGCAAGAAACCAATCGCGAGGTTGGTGGATACTCATCCAACCTCGACGAGAAGACTCTCATGGAATTGTACCTCTGGTGAGTCCATTCCGATGGCATCAGCACTCTGATACTTCAATCATGCACGTCCCATTTGTTATCGCATCCATCTTGATCAGGGAGAACTCAGACAATGTAAGAGGGCCTCACTGCTAACGTATCAATCACAGGCCATTTGCAGACTCGGTCGAGGCTGGAATGATGGGAGTCATGTGCTCACTCAATGGAGTCAACGGAGAAGTGGCTTGTGAGAACGATGCCCTGCTCAACGGTTATCTAAAGACCAAACTTGGTTTCCCCGGTCTGGTATCTCCAGATGTCGCCGCACAGCAGACTGCCTTGGGTTCTGCCAATGCCGGCCTCGACTATGGTTCAAGCCAATACTGGAGCCAAGCCACAATTCTTGCCGGCATTGCCTCTGGCAACTTGACGCAGGCACGGCTTGATGACATGGCGACCCGCGTGGTCATTGGATATTACTATGTCAACTTGGACAATGGCCAGCAGCCGGCAAAGGTCTCTGGATCCGAGTATCGCAACGTTCGTGGCAACCACTCGACTGTCATCAAGCAAGTAGCGAGAGAGTCAATCGTCTTGCTAAAGAACAATAATGGGGGTACCAGAAACGGATTCACTACTGGTCTGCCAATCCAGAAGCCGCACTCAATTGGTCTTTTCGGTGCGCATGCAGGTCCCGTAATGGCCGGCCCCAACGAAGTCTTTTCAGTGACGGGATCACCTGCCCAAATCTACCCCGGTCATCTGGCCGGTATTACCGGTTCTGGTGAAGACTCGTTCCCCTATGTCGTCGACCCCTATGTCGCCCTGAGTATCCGTGCCATTGATGATGGCACTTCCATCAACTGGATCTTCAACAATACTTATACGTCTCCTTACACCATTGGCATACCGGGCGGAGGATCTGGTGGAGGCAACGGCAGCACGCCTGGAGGTCCCGGCGGCGGCGGCGGTGGAGGCGGATTTCCCGGGGGACCTGGTGGTGGTGGCGGTGGTGGAGGAGGAGGCGGTGGCGGCGGTGTTCCAACCTTCCCCGGTGGATTCGGAACCGGCGGCACTGCTTCTTTTGCAGGATATGCCGGAGCATCTGATGTCTGCCTCGTCTTCATCAATGCATGGTCCGGAGAGGGCGCTGATCGTACCGAACTCTCCAATCCCGGGCAGGATGCCATGGTGAACACTGTCGCTGATAGCTGCAGCAACACAATTGTTGTGGCCAATGTTGCTGGCCCGCGCGTGCTCGATGCCTGGATCGAGCACCCAAACATTACCGCCGTTCTCTACTCGGCCCTACTGGGACAGGACAGCGGAAACGCCATTGTCGACGTCCTGTACGGCGATGTCAACCCTAGCGGCAAGTTGACCTACACCATTGCCAAGAACGAAACGGATTACATCCCCATCTGCCTCGAGCTAGAATGCGAGTTTGACGAGGGTGTTTACATTGACTACCGATACTTTGACAAGAACAATGCTTCTGTCCGATATCCCTTTGGCCACGGTCTGAGCTACACGACCTTTACTTATAGTGAAGACGTTTCCGTTACCATCACCAACCAGACGGCACTGAGCTCAAAGTACCCGACCGAACCCATAGGACTTGGAGGTGAAGCCGACTTGTTTGAAGATGTCATTACTGTAGAGACGTCTGTCCAGAACTCGGGAAGCGTAAATGGCGCCGAGACTGTTCAATTGTATGTCAGCTTCCCGGCAGAGGCTGAGCAGCCTGTTCGCGTGCTGCGAGGGTTCAACAAGGTCTCAATCGAGGCTGGACAGTCTGCCGATATTTCCTTCAATTTGCGACGACGCGATATCAGTTATTGGGATACCGACGCTGAGCAGTGGGCCATTGCCAGCGGCGAGTACACGTTCTCGGTTGCTGCCTCTTCGCGAGACATCAGATCCACAACAACACTTGAGCTGTAGTGGTATTTCTTCCACGAGATATATTGAGAACGAAAAGAAGGGTTCGAATGAATGATCAAATTAGAAGGACATTCAGGTACTGAATGCCGCTTTTGGCATGTTCTTTCTGTATAAGTAACACATTTGACAATTTTAGCGATGGTAGATTGATGTCATCTGCTGATTGGTAAACCGGTATAAGGCTATTGCTCATGACCTGCATAAGATACATCTCACCCGTACAATAAACATCCGGGTGGAGGCCGAACCCCTTGCAGCTCTTCGGGACTCCTCCATGTAGCGACGGAGTGGGCCGATCGTACCGAGTGCTCCCGTCGGCTGCGGAGATAATGACGGGTCACTGCATGAGGGGCGCAACAACTGCTAAATATTTTATGTACAATATGTGATGAAATGCTGATCAATTTCTAAGTGGGCTTTGTATACCGAAAGTATTCAGACCACCTGATCAGTGTACAGGATCAATATGGAACTTTCTCTTGTGCCCTTTTCTACATTGTCATTACCATTGGCTGCAATAGTCTTACCGGTTTTTGCTGTAATCTTACTTTGTTACCTCAACTTCTTCTATGTTGACTGTGCCAAGATAAATGGGATCCCCGAGATCCCAGGCGGCGAATTGCTTGCTGGGCATCTATACCAGCTGGGCAACGACCACGCGACCACAGCAGAGACTTGGGCTGCAAAGTATGGCTGGCCAGTATTTCAGTTGCGAATGGGCCGCCGGCGCGCCGTCTTTCTCAACTCGTTTGGAGCGGCGCGAGAATGGCTTGTAAAGAACCAATCTTCCACGGTTGATCGGCCCTGGTTTCACACGTTTCATGGAGTCGTCTCCAAGACTTCGGGTATGCAATCGATTGAGTTTGTGCTCATATATGGACAAGTGCTGACCAGCGACCAAGCGGCGACAATTGGAACTAGTCCTTGGAACGATCGGACAAAGAAACAGAGGCGCGTGGTAGGCTCCTTCACCACTGGGCCGGCGATGCAAAAGATGCGAGACATGTTGGACGTTGAGACGTGCGCTGTTATCTCGGGCTTGCTCCACAACGGCAAACAAGGATCCGTGAACATCATCCCGCATATGTATTATAAGCGCATGGCCTTGAACCTTATGACTATGTTCTGCTACGACTTCCGGTTCAACTCGGTGCATGATCCTTTGCTTCTACAGATACTCCAGGATGCCAAGACTATTGCAAGGTACGTCGGCTTTAAAACGAGCATACTTACCTAGTGATCACGACGGAGTAATTGACTTGATCCAACAGCTTCCGATCTACGAACTCAAACCCACAGGATTTCATCCCTCACCTGAGGTATACCGGCCGTAGTTCGAGGACGGAAATAGCTGCCGAGGTCCGTGCAAGACGAGACAAGTGGTTGGCGGCCATGTTGGATGAGATCAGCGGTAGGCTGAAATCTGACCATTCGAGTTCCAAGAAGACAATTGGAAGGAAATGTGTGGCCGAGTTATTGTTGGAGGATAGCCAAGAAGGTCTAACTCAACGTGCGTTCCCCGTAATCTCACCCATGCTCTATCTTTGCTTACAGCGCCGGTGCAGTTGACATCAAGACGATCCTGGGAGGCTTAATGTCTGGAGGCTTCGAGACCGTCTTTTCCACCGCCATTATTGCTACAGGCGTGCTTTCCACTCCACAGGGTCAGGAAATCCAGCAGAGGGCATTTGACGATATTCTCAGTGTCTACGACAGCCCTGAGCAAGCTTTTGAGCTCTGTGTGACGGAGGAGAAGAGCCCATATGTCACCGCCCTGGTAAAAGAGACCCTGCGCTGTTACCCGCCGCATAAAATTTTGCCCGCTAGGCAAGTTTATCGGGATTTCGAGTACAACGGCGTCACTGTCCCGAAAGGCGTATTGATCTACGTCAATAACCAAGCAGTGAACTTTGGTACGATTGACAATTCCCCCAAGTGAGTTGACCAAAGCTAACGCTGAGAACAGATGAGGAAGCATATGGTGCTGATGCACGCGAGTTCCGCCCGGAGCGGTGGATCAAGGCCGCGCACGAGATTCCCAACCCAAACCATTTTGCCTTTGGCGCTGGAGCTCGCATGTGCACTGCCGTCAACTTTTCAAACAGGGTCCTCTACGCCGTCTTGCTGCGACTCATTTTGTCCTTCAAGATCAGGCAAAGCAGAGACATGCCACCAAATGTGGACTTTATCGACTACAAAGATGATCCGGCAGCCTCAAACGCGGTTGCTTCTGATTTCAAGGTCACCTGCGAGCCAAGAGATGAAGATGTGCTCAGACGTTGTCTAGAAAAGACACGAAATCAGTCGTCCGAGTCTGGACGTCAGGATGCTGAAGTGTTTCTAAAATAGGACAATGGGAAGAAGATGGGAATTTCGGGGTTCTATCGGCTGTGTGTTTCATTGAAATGAATGTGGAAATTGCAATTTCATATATTGTCGGGGTCAAATGCGCGCAAGACAGCCTTGCGGCTACTATCCAGGCGCTGTATCTGTTGGTCAAATTTCTTGCTGTCCTAGGGCTTTGCAATAGGACTTGTGGTGTAGAAGATCAATAGCACTCAAATAGCGGTATGAAATGTTTCCCGTCATATCACAATCGCTCTATGAAACCGAAACGAAGAACTCGGGATAAATTGTCATGTTATATAGGACCGAATCAAGCATCAAGGTGACGCGCGTCGAATAAATCGAAAATCGTTGTCATGATATACCAACTCTAGGAGATATGAGCGATTAGATAGTCTCAAATAGGTAGGTGTAAGAGGCAGAGTTAGATTGGTTCGGGAGTATTCCGTCATGCGATCCGGGTAACTACCGACGCCCCAGACGCTCCTATCTGATATGATCGGCACTACACAGGGCCCGGGGTCATCTCCACAGATACGCTGAGCGACTGGGATAGGCTCGACGCATGGCGCTTCTATTGTCGAGGTACCACGTTACAATATTTCTGCATCCATTTTTGTATGCACAGCTTGAGCTTTACAAGCCGGTATGCTCAGTCTCAAGGTTTGTTGTCGCCAGTCAACGACTAGAGGAAAATTATCCCGGAAGGGCATGTGTGATGCTCGTAAGTATTTTTTTATCTACATAGCTAAGTGGAAGAAGAACGGGAATCATGTTTGAATAGTATGTTTCCATCCTGACAAGCCCATATAGTCCGGTCAATTCCCGTAGTACAAACTGGTAGACAGTCTCCCAATAGAAACATTACACTGTTGAGTTTGTGATCAGCAAGAGTTCCATGCTTGAAGTCATAGCCGGCAGAAAATCCAGTTTTCTTGAATAGCGTGAATGTAAGGAAAATGGGGGAGCGCAAGACTTACTGGTATATCGGAAGTGGGGGTTTCTGAGGTCAGTCACATCCTGGTCTCCCAGCATTTGTCCCTCGCGTTCTTGATCCTCCTTACTCAAATTGTTCTCGGCAGCAAGTCGGTCTCGGCGTTTGTTTTCGCGCACATACCAAAGCCTCCAGAGGATAATGACAAAGACCTCGAGTCCAAAGCACGCGCAGCAAGTTGCCGTACCCGCCACATAACGAGGAGCGTCCTTTGTTCGGAAGATTTGTGCTCCAATCATGTTGGCCACGCAGTATGAGATGAGAGTCAAGGATGACACGACGGTTCTCTTGGTCGTTCCACCAACGTTTGATGTGATCAGACTCCAGCCGAGGAATATGGCAAAGGAGAAAACTGTGGTCATGAGGAACATGCCCCATTTGACCCACTTGTACTCCGCAGTATTTGGCAGCAGCGACATGACGAGCAAACCGACAAAAGATATGATGCATGAAAGCATCATGATGTACATGCGCTGGTTTTGGTACGCCTGAAGATAGTATGCACAGGAAATGAACAAGATGATGTAAACAGCTGTAGATGGTGAGCTTTGTGTCAGGGGTAGGCGATTGTCAGAGACTTACCACTGCGCGGCAGACTGTAAAGCATGGACTGCCAAGAATCAAAGCCAAAGGTGACGTAGAGCAGGTTGCTGAATGCCGTGATTCCTCTAAGAAGTAATTTTCAGTCTCGATGGTCTCATAGAAATGTACAGATTGACCACTTACCCATTTGGAATGCACGACAAAAAGGTGTTGATGAACCCAAAGTAGACCTGAGGATCCCGGAAGCATTCCCAGACTTGATCCCATTTCCACTTGCCACTCGTCGACTCTTCACCCAGTTGGTTTTCCATGACTCGCGCGACCCTGTCAAAAATTAGTCTACATTGGCACTCGACTCATCCGTTCGATACTTACGCCATCTTCTTTTCTTCCTGGCTTAACCATCCGACTTCCTGTGGCGATCCCAGGATAAAGTAGCAAACAATGGCGCCGGCAAGGGTTAAGCCGCCCAGGAAGAGAGAAATGCATCTCCAGGCCGCGATGCCGTCTCTACCCGTAACATATCGTGCAATGCCGTACAAGATGAGGTTGCATACAATGCTGAAGAAGCCCTGAGAGGACTGCCAGAAGAGAGACCGGTGCGCGTGCTCGGTTGTGCGATAGTATGCGCCGGTGATCAAGAGGAAACCAGGCGACACGTTGGACTCGAAAAAGCCCTGTAGCGCTCGTAGTGCCATCATTTGGGACCCTGTAGAGAATCCGGTCAGCAAGATTGTCCCTGTATAGTTCGCGGTAGGGGGGCATCAAGACTACTCACAGCTGTTACAAGCGCTGATGCAAAGAAGACAGATTGCTGCAATGGTCAGCAAGTGCAAAAGTCATACTAGACAAGACAAAACGTACACCACCCGACAATGTAAATGGTTATAATGCGACCAATCTTGAACCGCTGCATCAACCATGTCGACGGGAACTCGCCAATCATGTATGTTAGGTAAAAGCTGGGGTATTGATCAGTAATTTTTCTCAAAGATGACCCTGTCCAACTGTGACGCTTACATTGTTGTAAGCCATTGGTATTGTTGCCCTTCAAATCGAAGATCATCTTCCATGCCAAAAAGCTGGGGCGTGTCAGTTACCCACGGTTGAAGTCTAAAGGTTGGAATACACTTACAGCCTGGATACTGATAGATGTTTTGTCGGTTTGCTGGATACCGTACATGAAAAACCTAGAATCGGTCAAAAGCTGACTCCATACTAGGTAGTCGAAATGATTGTAACTCACATGATTGGAATCAAGTACCAATCAATTTTCTTCGTCAGCTTCTTGTAGTCGGCCTCGGTGTACTCTAGTTTGCATCATTAGCGCTCTAGTTACACCCAGCGTGTTTTCGAGGTCACTATACCGGTGGTCTGGCCAACCACGCAGCTGCCGACGGGCTTGAGCTCAACGGCACCGACATCTTTGTCCTGCTTGTCCAACGACTTCTTGTCGGCGATCGAGTCCTTGTCGGATTCGGGGCGCTCGTACGACGGCTCCATTGTGGAATGGGGATGGGATAGTCGATGTTCAGGTTCGATGGCGTGACATTACTTTCCGACAACAGCCCCGGGTCCAGGAATCGTTGCATTCTTAAAGAGGTGCGCTCGCTGGCAAGGCAAGGCCATAATGCTACTTGGCCAAGGCGTACATGAGCCGCGATAACCTATCTCCAACTCGGTACCATCTGGCGCTATCTATGGTATGCAATGATAAGACTGGTTGGCTGTTAGTCGAGGCTTCATACTAAACAGATAGTATGCTTGACATATCCCTGGCCTTGCTTACGTTGAATTGGTCAAGGTTCGGATCGCCGTGATCTTGATTGTAGATCCCCCCCGACTGCCGGGGGGTTCCTTATGCAGTGGACAGTATCTTTCCGTGCCAACCCATGTCTTCTTGGCACAGATACAGGGACGAGGACTTGATGCATCCAACATGTTGCACAAGAAAATGACTAGTAACACTTACTGCTCTGTGCATAGAAGATAGGCAATAAGATAGGTAAAAGTAAGGATTGCCAGGTTGCACTGACCGGGGGTCAGTAGGCTCAGAGGTAGCTCCGGCTTAGCGACCCCGCTCACGCCGGCATGGTCCGTTACGGCCTCAGTCGGCGGTTGAGCAGTCCAACAGCAACAACAGAGCAATAAATCGGCAGACAGATCCATAACCTCTCATAGAACTCATTGTGAGTATAGCAAAGTCGCATCACAATGGCTTCAAGACAATTTCCAGTTCCCAACTCGACAGCCTCCTTCTGGAGGACTGATCTTCAAGAATTCGACAAGCACCGGAGCACCCCCGAACTTCCTGCGGAGACCGATGTGGTCATCATCGGCGCCGGCTTCTCTGGTGCAGCGCTCGCCTATTACATTTACCAAGACAACCCAACGCCCCCTTCGGTATTGATTTTGGAAGCTCGAGAGGCATGCTCCGGAGCGACGGCACGCAATGGTAATTATCCTTTGTTTGATCTGCATCTGTCTGGGAACAATCTCTGATTCGAAATTCTAGGAGGTCATCTCAAACCAGATGTGTACTTCGGTATTCCAAAGCACATCAAAAAGCACGGCGCCAAGGCTGCGGTGGAATTCGCAAACTTTGGAGCATCCCAAGTATATGCCGTAAAGGAGCTGGTCGAGAAGGAAAAGATCGACTGCGACTTTACCTTGACGAGGGCCTGCGATGCTACCCTGGATGAGGGTTTGGCACGGGAGACGGAAGAGGCGTTCAAGCAACTGTCTGCATCCGGGGTGGCTAGCCTCAAGGATATCCACTACACTGGCCGCAAGGACGCTGAACGGGTCAGTATCTACCTAATGCCCCAAGGGCCAAACTAAAGCTTCAGTGATATACTAACCTCTCCCAGGTTTCGGGCGTTAAAGGAGCACTGGGTGCCTTTACGTTTACGGCCGCGCACGTTTGGCCATACAAGCTGGTCATGCATCTGCTCAAGATCTCGCTCGGAAAGGGTGCGAACCTCCAAACCTACACCCCGGTCACTTGCATTTCGGAGAACCCGCTGCCCGACGGCCGCTGGCTGGTAACGACCGAGCGCGGCGTCGTCAGGGCCAAAAAGGTGATTCTGGCGACCAATGGTTACACGGCAAACCTGGCCCCTCAATTCAGAGACCATATTGTTCCGGTTCGGGGCATCTGCAGTCGCATCGTTGTTCCCAAGGGCAGCGCTGCCCCGTTTCTGCCGCAGACGTACAGTATCCGCCACGGCCCCGGCGTGTATGATTATCTGATCCCGCGAAACGATGGCAGCATCATTGTGGGCGGTGCCAAGTCTGAGTTCTGGGATGATCTCTCGCAGTGGTATAATGTGGCCGATGATAGCAAGCTCATTGAGCCGGCCAAACACTACTTTGACAACTTGATGCAAAGGACCTTTATGGGATGGGAGAATTCGGGTGCCCATGTGGATAAGATCTGGACAGGCAGTGAGTGAAAACTTGACATATCAGAATCTTCTTGGAGAGTCTCAGTACTGACAATTGGTCATAGTCATGGGCTACAGTTCCGACTGGATGCCGCATGTGGGTGATGTGCCTGGTAAGCCGGGCCAAATGATCATGGCAGGATTTTCGGGGTTCGGCATGCCTCTGATTCTGTTGACTGCCAAGGGAATAGTGCAAATGTTACGGGAGAGGAAGAAATTCGAACAGACAGGTGTGCCCACATTGTTCAAGGCTACGCAAGAGCGATTGGATAGCACATGGAGTGATATTCTGGGTCGTGAGATAGAAGCCAGACCGAAACTATGAGATGCTTCTTGAATTTACTGCGATCACGAATCAAGATTCTATCGTTATTGGAACTATCAAAGCGACATACCTATGATTATCAATATTTGAATGCGACATGATGCATTGAGCTCCCAGTGTGACATATCTCGATCACAACTTCTCTTACCTTGGTGACTTTTGACGGACAAGCAAATGGCTGGGTCTTTTTTTTTTTTGCGAAAAGCATCCGCATCTTGGCCTCTACATGGCGGCCATCACAGTAGAGGATTGGGAGTTTTCGTACGAGCAAAGGGCACCATCATGGCAGTCTTGTAAATTCGTATCACTTTTGACTACATTTATGCCTTTGTACTAGCTGCAACAATGCCATCGGCCAGGGCCGGGAGACTGTCAGCGACAACGTCCATTTCGCCAAAGACATCTTCACACTGCTCCAATTCCCACTCGGACACCCAGGCACCCTTGAAACTAATGATACAAGTCAGCAAGGAGGATCAGCAATGTTCATTGTGGTGATACATACCCAGACTTGCGTGCCGCGGCGGCATCCCACATGTGCCCAGCGGCGAACCAAGTGACACGGTTCTCGGCCGGGAACTTGTCCAGGACGTATTTGTAGCAAGCAGGCGAGGGCTTGCCGACGCCAATCTCGTCACACGAGACAAAGTTGGCCTTGGGAAAGTCAATGCCGGCGGCGCTAAAGTAGCCGGTGACGCGCGAGACGTCGCCCGAGGTCAGGGCCCAGACGGTGAAGCCGGCGTCGCGCAGCTTGGCAAAGCACTCGGTGAGGCCGGCCCGGGGCTTGAGCGTCTTGTACGCGGCCAGCAGGAACTCGCGGTCCTCGTCGGTGCAGAGCTTGCGCGGCTCCTTGACGCCCGCTTGCCACAGCGTGCGGTAAAAGATGCCCCGGAACACGGTCCAGTAGACTTTGTAGTTGCCCGACAGGCTGAGGTATGTGTATTCCTTTTCGCCCGCCTCCATCCAGGCGTAGCCGAAAATGCGGGAGCCAATGTTGAGCTCTCTCAAACGGTCGCCGATGCGGGCTTCAATGGCTTCGTAAAATGCTTCGTAGGAAACACATGTGCCTAAGGGTCACTGATGAGAAACTGTCGCCCATTAATGGCGAGTTATTTCACTTACCTACAACGTCGAAAACGACGTGCTTGTTATCCGATGCAGCCATGTTTTATAAATGGGTATACAAAAGAGCAATTACGTTTGGAACAATTAAAAAAAAAAAGGTGTGAAAAGAAAGCAACGTTGATTACTATGTTATCCAAGTAGACTAGGAAATTAGAAGCTATTGCGCGCTTTAATAGTAAATGAAAGCCCCCGACTGAGTGGTCATCCAGGTTCACCATATTTTATTCTCACGTCTCATCGGGCTCCGTATTCACACTCTCGGGGGCATACGATCTTGCGGCAGTGAGACGCGCGGGGAAAGCCGATAGCTCACGATAACCCCGCGAATGGGCTTTCGGACCCGCGACGGAAGTGCTTTGTATTCCCCCCCAGCAGCCAGCGGGCGGGTGCCCAAATTTCAGGTCTGGTAGTGCAGAATACTCGCTGTGCTAGCAGGTTTGTAGGCTAGTAGCGCTACGTTACGATAAGGGGTCCCCTCCCTAATCCTGGATTGGCAGGCTTGCCAGCAAGCCTGCCAGTCACTTCAATTGTAATTCTGTATTATTATAACCTTCATCTAGGGTAGAGACCAACGATAATGTAGCTTGGCATGCGGACGACTTTCTTACCCCAGGTGCGGATGTGGGACCTATTAGATAACGGGGCCCTCCCATAGGTATGTATTCAATCGCGTACGTACGTGAATGGAATCCGTGATTGGGATCGCGACTTTTGGTGCGGATGTTGAGGCGCTACCGATATCGGCACTTGTGTGCGACCGGGCGTTTCTTTGTTCGCGTTTCCTGGCCCGTTGTTTTTGATTTGCATGGTGCTTGCATCGGCCAAACCTTCTATAATGAGTAGAGACGGGGTGCTGGCTAAGTAGACCAGATAGAAAGAGAGAGCTTGATGAGGGGACATTCGGGGAAAGAGCTCTTGGAAGCCGGATTATGTTGTTATTGTTGCGCAATAAAGGTGCCCGGCCCCTCCCGCCAGGTCAACGCGTAATGTATGTAAGACGTCCTGTGCATATGTGCTATGATGTTTATGATGATGATTCAATGTACCTACACTTGTGCGACCACAGAACTCCAACGCTTAGGCACGGGCAGGCGCGGTAAGCACACACTCTTTGTATGTACACATTGTAAGTACTGTAGGCAGGTCCTTTTCCTCCGACCGATACTTGCCTCGGGCGATCCAGCGGGGTTGATGGGCAGTGCAAAAGGAAGGAGACTTTATAGTCCCGCATCTATTTCGGGTTGTTGTTGTTGGTACATGCTGTATTGGGTGCGAAGTCGGCCAAGGTGGTTTCGATAGGTTGCAAGTAGTACCGTACGGTAGTTCAAAGGTCGACAGCTTTGTTGAATATAGTTCGGTAGCTACTGTCGTCGCAGGGTCCTCAAATCCTGTCCAAAAGTTTCCTGCCTCTCTCTCTCTCGCTTTCCGACTCTTTTTGTGCTCATCTACTTGTCTGCCTCTATCTATTTATATGAAATCGCCAACCATGAGTATTGTGCTTGTTACTGGTGAGGTGACCCGAGCTGGATTGGGCTGTTTGAGATTCTTACTCGCTATGATTAGGAGGTAGCGGGTTTATCGCTGCGCATATCATAAGGACCCTATTGCAAAACAGGTACGCTGAAAGGTCCACGTTCCATGACTTCTCTTTTACTGACGGGAACCCTTATTTCCATCGATGCAGCTACACAGTGGTCACTACCGTCCGGTCGCCAGCCAAGGGCAACAATGTCCTTACCAGCCATGCAGATATCTCCAATGGCAAGCTCTCATATCTTGTAGTGAGCGACATTACCAACCCAAAAGCTTTTGAACATGTGAGTATGCACCTGTTAGTCAATTGGTGCACAAGAATTGGCTGGCTGATAACGCAAACACCCAGGTTTTCCGTCGAGGAATTCCTTTTTCTGCCGTGTTCCACACGGCATCCCCCTTTCACGACAACTTTGTGGACCCGGTTGAGGGTCTATTGAAGCCGGCCATCAGTGGTACAAAGAATATACTACACGCAATCAAGGCCTATGCGCCTACTTGCAAAAGAGTGGTTATTACATCGAGCTTCGCAGCCATCGTCAACCCTAACCGGCCGCCCAAAATCTACGATGAATCGTCGTGGAACCCCGTATCATGGGATGAGGCCGTTACAGACCGCACCAAGGCGTACCGTGGAAGCAAAGTGAGTAGTAGTACTTTATCCTAGACCGCAGTTCTTTGTAATAGCGTTGAAAATCTCTTTTTGCAAGTTTGGAGCCGCTCGCTGACTATAGTTATCCACCCCTAAAAGACGTTTGCGGAAAGGGCCGGGTGGGAGTTTGTACAAGCAGAAAAGCCAGGTTTCGATCTCGTCACCATCAACCCGCCACTAGTATACGGGCCAGTAGTGCACCACCTATCTACGCTGAATAATCTCAATACCTCGAACCAGAGGATACGGGACTTTATTCAAGGCAGATATTCGATGCAGGCATTGCCCCCGACTGGGACTTTTCTATGGGTGGACGTCAGAGATGTTGCATTGGCACACATGAGAGCAATCCAAGTCCCCGAAGCCGGCAATAAGCGCTTCTTTGTGGTTGCCGGTCACTGTTCAAGTAAGTACCTACCTACTCGGAAAACATTCGATGTCATCCCACTGCTTCTCTGCCACCCACAAGAGAGAGAGAGACAATGACAAGGAAAAACAAGAAATTGACATAAACTTATGTACGCCCAGACAAGAGGATTTGCGACGTTATCCGGCAGACACACCCAAAACTATCTTCGCTACTGCCAGACAACGCCATTGACGACTTTCCCAGAGACGTCTATGGCTATAATAATGCTAGAGCCCAAGATATACTGGGTGTCAAGTTCCGACCGTTGGAGGAATGCATCAAAGACACGGCGGCCTCCCTGTTGGATCTAGGCGCTTGATTCCCCCCTCTCCCGATCCGATTTCCCATCCATCCCACACCCCCTGTTCTAGATGCATGCACAAAACAAAAACAAAAAAAGTGCCCCCTAAATTAGCGTACGGGAGACCTTATCTGCCTGCCAGTTAAGCTTTGCCCTGCAGCATCGTGAATACCTACACTGGGTGAGATGGATGGCAGCCGAATGTACCATTTAATACAATGATAGCGAGCATCGAACAATTAGCGCAAGTAAACCTCGGGAGGTCACTGCTACGTCCATATTCAATACAGCCATTTCTTTTCATTCTTTTGCACTTTATGCCAGTAAACAACTAGTACAGAGTATGCCAATGTGAATAAAGACCCAAGCCGGTCATCGGGAACATCTAACCTAGAAAAAAGTCCAAGATCCGGCCCGCAGGTAAGGGACGAATCAAAACGTGGGGAAATGATTAGAGAGAAGAAAAGAAAACAAAATCGCTCACAAGTGGCTTCTCAAATTCGCTAGAGACGGTTTTAAGCTTAGTCGCATTGCTGTTTGGGCTTTATGGTCTGAATGATGATCGCATTCTTACCGGCCCACCAAACGTCCCGCTTGAACCGGTTGTTTGCGATTTTTACTGGTTGAACCCTTTATCGGCCGCCGTATGTAATTTGATCTTTTGTTCCAAGTTTCTCGTTTTCCCCCAGAATTTCGGCGGCTTCCACGAACCCAATTGCTTGGAATCTGTTCCGACTAGACAGTGCCAAGCTTCAATCCTTATATCGTACTTTGTACAGTGGCTCTTTTCTGGATCCAGTCTTTATTCTGAGTGTGATGGCTTACACGTGCAGTCAACACCAGAGAATACCTCCTCCATGCCGCCCGCCATGGCTTTTACAGAGGCCATGGCCATGCCCCATTGCCAAGAACACCTGCCTCTGCAACACTGACTGTCATTCATATTCCAAACTTGCCATGCACGATTTCTTTCTATTTCAAGAATGCATGCCAATTGTAGCAATGCGCATTGCTTAAAAGTCCCATGTCTGCAATTTCACGATGCCCACAATGCCAAGATGCCCGACTGGGATGGTACTCCTGTCATTCCGAAAGCGTTCTTATCTTTGGAAAACATAAAGATGGGCCGAATTCCGTGTAGGAGCATGTAGGAGGGAGACCTTGATGGTGAGAGCAGCAACATACGATACTGGCAGCCTCGTGTCCCCCCTCGTGGTCGCGTAATAACACATCAACATGGCTCCAAAGGCTCTCTTCAGCCTGCTCAACATCCTGTCCCGGATGCAAACGGGACTGACGAGTGACTCGCCGACCTCTGCTGCAAACATAACCGTGGATGTGAGCCAGACCTTTCAGACCATCCGGGGCTTGGGGTACTCTGAGGCGTTCCAGCGCGCGCAATGGGTCTACAATACCATGTCGGACGAGCGCCAGCAGGAGATGTTTGATCTCCTCCACGACCCCGTTACGGGCGCGGGCTTCTCCATCCTGCGCATCGGCATCGGCTCGTCGGTCGACAGCTCGGGCGACCACATGAACTCGATCCAGCCGCTCTCGCCGGGGACCCCCGACGCTGCGGCTTCGTACGTGTGGGACCGCAACGACAGCAGCCAGGTTTGGTGGGCGCACGAGGCGCAGAAGCGCGGCGTCAACCTGTTCTACGGCAACTCGTGGGGCGCCGATGCCTACATGAAGAGCAACAACAACACGGACAATGGGGGCTACCTGTGCGGCGTCAACGGCACCGACTGCGCGACCGGCGACTGGCGCCAGCAGTACGCCGACAAGCTGGTCCAGTGGGTCAAGTACTATGCCGACGAGGGCATCAACATTACGCACCTGGGCCCCCTCAATGAGCCCGACATCTCCGTCACGTACGCGTCCATGGAGGCCGACGGGTACCAGACGACGGATATGCTCAAGGTGCTGGCGCCCACCATGGAAGAGGCTGGGCTGGGCGACGTGCAGATTACCTGCTGCGACTGGGCTGGTTGGGAAAACGGACGCGAGATTCTGGCGCAGATGCAGGAATCCGGTGGCGAAGAGCTAACCGGAGTCATCTCGTCGCACGTATACGGCCAGCCACTCGGAGATCCATTCGACACGGACAAGGAAGTGTGGCAGACGGAGTGGGCGGAGCTTTCTTCGTATTTTGACCAGCCTTGGTACTCGGTCGAAGGAGACAGTAAGTGCTTTTTAATGATCAAACCACCATGACTGACCACTTGCTGACCTACGACAAAACAGCGCGAGGTACTTATGGAGGAGGCGAGGGACTGACATGGGCAAACCGTATCCTGCAAGGCTTCACAGTCGCCAATGTTTCTGCCTTTATCAACTGGATGGGTGCGCAGCCATCAAAGTGCGTAGTAATCTTTGGGGTTCCTGAATGCATAACACGTTTGATGAAGTTCGCTAACGCCCAAGCAGTGCCGCCACTCCTCTGATCCGGACCATCAATGACACCAACATCATCTCCAAGCGCTACTACGCCTACGCCGCCTTTGGGCGTTATGCCCGTCCCGGGTCCGAGAGGGTCTACGCCAGCTCCAGTGTGGCCAACATTACAGTGGCCGCATTCAAGTCGACCGAGGGTTTCGCGTCGGGCGGCAACTTGGCCTTGCAAATCATCAACAATGCCGACGACGACGCCTCGGTCCCAATCACAGTTGAAAACATCACGCAGGTCAACAATGCTACTGCGTACTTGGTGAACAATGATTATGACCTGGCCGAGAGCTCGGATCTTTTGGAGTACGACGGCGCCAGCTTGACTGCCACTGTTCCCGCGCGGTCACTAGTAGTGGTTGCAATCGATTCTACATGAAAAGAAGCTTAGAGCACCATCTTGGCGAGTCGAACCATAATATGATACCATTTGCCTTTTTCTTTCAGAATTCGTCCTCGTAGCCCTCGTCGTCCTCAATTGGTGGATATCGGTCTTGGAAGGTGAGGATGGCCTGAAGACCGCACTCTTCAATATGAAGCCTCACGTCCTCCATCCGCCGGCGCTCATCCGGAAGTGGCAAGCTGTGGTGGAAGCTGTCGGTATACCAAAGAATCTCAATCTCCTGCAGAGCGACTTGGCAGGACTTTTTCCTATGGAAAACTGCGCTCGCGAATAGCTTTAGCCATTCCTGTATTCGCTCGATGAAATATGACTGTGGGCCATGTCGGGAACTGCTTGCACTGCAATTCATGACGAGTCTCTTCAGATTTGCCAGTGCCCAGCTCTCACAGGCGACATGCGCGGTAGGCAATAAACTCGACGAGCAGATCTCGAGTGTATCCAGGGCGGTAAAGTGGTTGATGTTGAATTCGTCAAATGCCTCGGTTCCCATTTGGCGGATGCGCAATACTCGAAGAGTGGTGGCGTGATGTGAGAGTATGTCGACAAGCATTGGGTAATTCCATTTACAGCAATTCTCCCACCTCAGCCTTGGCAGCCGAAAACATGTCAGCTTTGCAAGTTCCCCATTGACACAGAGTTTACTATCATTGTAGGACCATGACTTGGGATCGTAAAACCAAACAAGGGATCATGTTCTTCGACCGCGAGGATCAAACAATGAAATGACGGCATGATTTTGAGTACTCACAGATAGTCCCAGGTGAGGCCCCCGGAAGCGAGCTCGTCAATACTGAATACTGTCAAACTCTTTGGCCATAACAAAAAGTTGCGAAGAGCATCTGGCGATCCAAACTTGAATCGGCTCACGTGCAGCTCATCAAAACCAGCTGATCCTTCGAGGCCCTATACGACGGCGGCTTGTTAGAACAAGATGAACTCTGATCAAACCGTGCAAGGACTCACGGGAGGTGGTGCTGCAATCTTTGGGTCTTCCACAACATATCTATCCCCTCTTCGACTCGACTCATCCCAGATTCTGCTTATGTTGCGCACGCTTTCTATATCCAGCCTCTTGAGATTGGGAAAATCTTGTACAACGTCGATTGCATTCTTGAAGCCAATCTCTCCCCTTCCCAAGAGGGATACTCGCTTGGCATAGGAAACGCAATGCGGAGCAATCTTGAGGCACTCCCTCGTTCTCTGGCTGCGAACGCGCGCCTTGTGCCCAGGCTGTTTCCAAAGCGGATCCTGATCCCAGTCGTCATTCTGGAAAGTAACATGCGACCAGACAATGGGCTGGGCAAGCGTGTAGAATCGCTTGCAAGTCAGTGCGAGCGGCCAGGTCAATTGATAGGGAGCCTCAGGGAGTACGATCTCATTGAAAATCTTGAGAAGAATCTCATTGGGGACCTGGAAAATCAACCCTTGTTGTGCCATGTTCTTCAGATGGTGAGATGTGAAGAGCGTACAGACTCTAGAGACAATGACGACGATTCAGAGAGCGGGCAAGAAAATTGGTTGGCTTTTTGCTTTGAACGAGTCATACAGCTGCGATGCGGAAGCTTGACTTTGTATTAATAAAGTTGCAATGATGATGGTTTACGTCTGCGCGGCCAAGCATCTCATCAGGTGAACCCAATGTTCAACATTGTTGTTGTTGTTGCGCATCGCTTTAAATGCATCCAAGTGGCCCCAGGCAGCAGTATTCTCACAGCAGTCCAATTGTGCATACATAAATGGGCATGTGGTCGGTCCGGGCCGCGAACCAACAGCGCTAAGCGAGCAGCCGCCCATAATGTAGCAGACAGAAGGTTTCTATCTACAGAACCTCGAGCGATTGCCTTGCCGACCAGTTTCCCCCATCCGAGGCACAAAAGAAAAAGGATTCGAATCAATTGGATCTGATTAGTTTATTTATAGTAGCAAAGGAAGTACTTATGTTGGCAAGTCTACACACAGGCCCTGCATATCCTCCCGTGTGCATCATAGTCAGCAAGCCAAGGGATCCAAGTAAGGGGGCGTGAAAGCTCTTTGCTAGCTTTGCTCCCGGACCAGTTTGCAAAGATATGCTCATATCCAAAAGCAAGAGAATTCCCCAGTCTAGTCATGGCAAGACTAAAGAGACTGAGCAGAAAGAGAAAGGATGCCCGAGTAGCATCAGTACTGCTAAAAGGAAACATTCGTTCGAGACTGTGGTGGTATCGTAATTCGTATATTCGAGAAAGTAGGAGACGTCGCCGTAGAGTTTGGTATTATCTAAGTCTATGATTTATGCCCATTATGACTTGTCCGTCGTTGGGGTAGTATTATGTTGTATAGGTGAGAGGCCGTATGCTTTTGTTCCCCTTGATTATGGTTTCAGTGATTTATCCTTATTGTCGGATATGGAAAACGTGTTCTAGCGGAGTCCACATGTGTTAGCATCTCGCTTCTTGCGCCGATATGTGGATATTCGTGCAATGTAAACACTTACAACGACCCAAATCTGTCCGTCATCTGCTGTTTTACGATCTTGCTCGCTCGAGTTGATCGACGTCTCCTTGTCGTGACTCTCGTGGGGCACCAATACCGGGAGATGGTTATCATCAACGATTCTTTCCTCGCTGCCGCCGCCACCCACGGTTGTCCAGCCGTTGCCGTTGCGACTCTTCAAGACATTCGACCGGCGCTCAGACCTCCGATCCATTGGGCCCAGGGGCAGTCCGCTGACTCCACTGCCAAGATTATATGGTGTCACCTTGCTCCTGTCCCGCTTGGATCGCTGACTGCTGAGGAGGTCGTCGAGGAAGGTCGTGACCCAGAAGATGAGTGGCTTCAAGACGGGAATGTTGACCGCAAGAATGGCGACAAATGTCTCGCGGATCGACCAAATTGTGCCCAGACTGATCGAAGTCGGGTCGCTCAAGCACAGGATGCATCTTAGTAGCGCAGCTATAATGATGAAGAATCCCAAAGACAGCCAAAATCCACACAGAACCTTTCTGTTGGGGGTGTTAGTAACGATGCGAGTCTGTGTATTCATACTGAGGATTTCCCTACCTCCGAAGTGGCATTTTGACCGCCCATAGCAAGGGCATTGGAATGTATAGGATGACCAAATCAGTGCTATAATTACTATTAGAGCTGCCGCAAAATGTGGGAGGCAGAGGTTAACTTACGTCACATTAGTAACAATGAGAGCCAGATAATTCGGTACGTTGAGTGCGCAGGCGTCTATGTCGTGTCAATATCTTCCAAGGCCATGACGTTGTCTTGCGAATATTTCTTACCACCGGGGTATGGGTACACCTGCCAATTCTTGTGAAAGGGCATGCAGCGGGTGAGGCAGACCATGATGGTGGCGATGTACGCAAGGACCGTCATCACGGACGCAATCTTGACGAGACGTTGCTGCTCGAGTTGGAACCTGTTACAAGTTGAGTAAAAAGGTACAACGGAAATCAACAATCGTTGGCAACGTACGTGAGTCGTTGGTACACAAACAGCATACATCCCTTCATGCAGAAGATCATGGTAACGTAGAGACACCATCCTGCCAAGAGGCATTTGCTTCCAATCTCAATCCTCTTGATCTCGTCGTCGGTAAGGGTCAGGGCCTTTGCGTCGGTCATTCCAGTGATGCTGCCATATTCGCTAATCATCTGCAGCATGCACAAGACTCCCTGCGGGTAAAAATAAATAAGCTCAGAGTGTCCCTCTTTGAAATTTTTCCGATTGGACAGAAAGAATAATGTCCATCATACCGTCCATAATGGTACAGCAAAGGCGGCAATGTAGTCGTCGCCAGCCCAGTCCCATCCAACCACGCTGCATCGGTACCCGATGCGTATGATGATAATAAGCAAGCTTATTGCGTACTCTATCCAAGCTTCTGTCGTGTATGGGTTATACATGGCGGTGAAAGCCCCCGGGCTGCAGAATGCCCCATAGATTGCCTGAAAGCAATGACTGGTTCCGCCAGGTTGGGTCAGGCCAAGAAAACTTTGTTGTGCTCTCTCCTTCTTAAAAGGAAGCTCGGTAATCGCGGTTGTTATGTGAAAGTTGAAACTTTAAAAAATGAGCATGGGATTTCTTTCAAAAAACCACAGGAATTGCCCCCTTCAAGAGGACTACCCCCTGCTCTCCGATAGCTACTCTTCTGGGAATATTCTCTTCAGCTCTCAATATTTCCGTGCTCAAATTTCTGATAAGGTCCATCACCATGGATGCAACAATCGCCTAGTCAGGTCCCGAGGGCCGAATGCCCATTAGTGTTGGAGTAGTGCTGGCGTGAAGAAAGTGACACACGGGTAGAGCCGCAGATAACTACCTCTTCGGGTGTTTTGTGTCCTGGCTCAGGGGCAATAGGGTTCGCTCTAATGCTATGCCTGTGTGGTGAAGAGGTCCTTATGTCCCTGGATCCCCAAGCGAGTCTTTGGATATTGCGTGGAGGGTATCCAGTTGTGGTGAGCTAGTGGGCCTCAGCTGCGGATGCGGCGATGATACCTCCGCAGTGTTGAGCAAGATGCCCGCACTTGGACCTCATTTTTGGCCCATGTGGGATCAGCGTGTGGTGATTGCAAGGTTGATGCCAAGATTATGACTCCTGGTTCTTCAACAAGCACGCGAGTCAGGACCGACAGCAAAAGCGTCCCAAGACGGCGGAACTGCGCCAGAGATGCCGACTGGAAGAGACTTTGCTAGGCGCACTGCATCTCACATGATAGTTCATTTTGGTGAATTATGCTACGCCAAAAAGCATGCAAAATAGCCTCGACTCTTACGCAAGCGGTTGCTTTACTACTGAGCCTCTAGTCGAACGGTTTGGAAGCCCTAGTTTGATGGTTTGAGAGAATCAGGGTCTGGCAAACTCCAATTCTTGTCACCATTTGTTGATGGAGAAGCACGCTAATAGCCCTATTACTAGCAATCCTACCTGAGTCATGGGAATAAATCACCTCAAACTCAATTCTCCTCACTCGAAACAAGACTAGGAACAGCATAATATGTCAAGGGCCTGCAGTTTATGCTTTGAAGCTGTCCCGGGATCGTCTCACGGACGGACAGGATGAAGAGCCATTAGAAAGCCAATATCATGACCGAGTCAACAAACAGATGCAAGGCAGCCCAACCGTATTTCTGTGAAGCTTCGACTCCATAGAAACACCCAATATCGCATGGTACTAGTCATTGTGGCGCCTGGGGGGATGCCGTTAGCAAGAAAGGGCGGAAAATTTGGGAATATGTCGACTTATTATACACTCACTACGGGAACCCGGGAACAGCTCCCCGGCGACTACGTCTCCGACGTCTCCTGCCTCGGCGATGATGACGGCTGCCACCTGTTGCGAAACCAGGCCATCCTGGCCATGGGGGATTTCCCCACCCGTTGTCGTCTTCGTCGCTGCTGCTGCTGCTACAGCAGTAGTCGCTGGTGTCCGAGTCGCTGCTCTCCTCCTCGTGGTAGTGGCACCAGCCGGCGTACCGGCCCTTGGCCTGGGCCTCGGCGGTACAACCCGGCGCGTGACAGGTATGAGCGACGCAAAACTGCCCGTTCGCAATAACCTCGCCGTTGCAGTTCCTCGACTGGCACATGTGCGCCGCGCAGTACCTCTTCTGATCTTCGACTTCGGCGCCACACCCGCCCTGATACCGACAAGTATGAAGCGCACAGAATTTGCCGCCGTTAAAAGTGCGTTCAGCACAGTTGCTCTGGGCGCAGGTATGTTTGGCGCAAAACGCCCCAAAGCCCAGTACAAATTGCAGCGCGTTGCCGGTCGGGTTCAGCGCCGCCATGAGCGTCGGGATCGGCACCGTCTCGTCCATCACCCGGCGCTGGCCCGGGCAGCTAGGGACGGTGCACTTGTGGCTGCTGCAGTATGTTGACAAGGGCACCCGGATGCCTTGGCAGTCGTTGCTGGCCAAGCAGATGTGGTCGTTGCAACGGCGTCCATTGGCCACCTTGGGCTTGTCGCAGCCTGGTGCATCGCAGGGCCTTAGGTCTATTGCCAGACGATTAGTGACTGTCTAGATGAACTTTGCTAAGTAGGACCAAGAGGCTTACGGTCTTCACACTTGTTTTGTCGATCTCCGCTGCCATTCACAAAGCGGAAATTATTACAACCAGCCTCAACACACCGTTCATGCTTGTCGCAATAGCCTCCTTTCTGTTGGTCTCCCTGGCTAGCACAATTGGTTGGCGGTAAATACTCGCGGCAGATATGGTAAAGGCAATATCCGGACTTGGCTGGCGCAAACGACTCCCTGGTGCATTGGTCGACTTTGCACTCATGGTCAGCGTCGCTGCAGAACAGAGAGCCGGCTGTGCTAGATCTCTTGTTATTGCATCCAACAAACCGACAAATATGCTTCTCACACGCGGTCGAGGTGCCATGGCGCGGCTCGTCGCAATCATGCCCAAAGGCGCAATAGTGGTCCTTGCAATATGGCAACGGTCCGCGACCATCGGACAGTTGGACGTCTTGATTGCATGTCGCTGCTTTGCACTGCCTATGCCTTGCGCAGTATTTCGTCACGGCATCATCACCAGGCGTGACTGGCTCGAGGCATGTTGCAAAGGCGCACGTGTGTTTTTCGCATCTGTTGAGAGCGCTATCCGACATCTCGAGACAGTCGGCCTCGACGCAAGTGTGCTTGAGGCAGTACTTGGAGTTGAGACTCGCACTCTTTATTTCTTTTTGATTCTTGCAACCATCCTTGACACATCCGTCTATATACACGTTAGTCTGAAGCTATATCATCGTGAATGTTGCGCCAAACGTACGATCTAAGCACCAAGGTGATCTTTTCGTTTTGCCTATGAGCTTGGGAATGTTGCCGCACCTAGGATGACTACATTCCTTGTCTGTGTGTAGCTTCTGTCAGCTCGTAATCCTTTGGGGAAATTTGTCTACATAGACAGGATCACGTACGAATGTCACAAAGAGGTTCGTCCCTTTTGGTCGGATTCTTGCACGGCTGGCCATGGTCCCAGTGACGGCAAGCGTGATCGCTGCAATAAGGTGATGCCAGAAACCCATAATTTCGACCTTTGGCATACGCCTCAGACTGGCTCTTGCACCCCTTGTAGGCGCAAAAGTGCCAAGTCTTATAACCCTTTTTGGAGTCGTCCTTGGAAACTTTCTTGGAGCCAGATTTGCCAAAGAGGCGTGTACCAGGTGGAGGGCCGACACCGTGACGGTGATTTGATTTTTGGAGAGCCTCAAAGAAGCTCTGGAATAACCCAGGCATGATGAATACCCGGCGCAAGAGAAGCCAACGATTAAAAGGGGTTTCCACTTGTAAATCAGCTCGACAAACCTGAAATTTCGACTCGCCCCTGCATAAAGAATGCTCGTGCTTGATATATTCTGTATTTATATTTGCTTCGGACTCGAGAAGTCAAGAATGGTAATGAGTCAACCGGCCCAGCGTGTGGCGGTGAAAGAAAGGTCAATCGCGTTCAAGAGTTTGCTATCCGGCATGTCGCACAGCTACGTAGCCGAGACGAGGCGATCGAAACGAATTAGATGAGTGTTGATCAAGCAAACAGCATGTCCGCGTAACAAAGTGCGAAATATCCCGGCGGATTTCGACCATGTCATAGAATATTGCCATGTTCTCAATGGTCCACACGGAAACGTTGTTTCTTACAGCTGGTGTATTTGTGTGTCCTTCAGACCGGGATACGTTTGAAAGTTCTCCCCGTACCAAAGACTAGTCGATAATCTTGGCTGGATCACAGGCATTCGTAGGTCTGGTCGGCAACAGACCGCTTCTTGTGCACCGCTAGATTGGACCATGATGAGCGTTGCCAATTGGAGCTCGACAGGGACTGACATTTGTGGCCCAATTCAATATTTTATTTGTTTCCTACAGGAACAAGCACGACACGCGAGGAATCGTGTCTGGGGTATCATTTACGTACACATCATCGTTACTGAGATCCAGTTATGAAACCTACCGCGATATTGCGGTTCCAAAAAGTCCTCCTCGCCACAGCTATAAAGCTTTTTTAATGGATCCTTGTTAACTCGTTGGCTGTGCTGCAACGGCGGCCGAGGCTGCGAGCAAGGCAGCCTCAATACTCTGGTCCTGGCTCTCGGCACTGTTCTCTTGGCTCATGAAACGTTTCAGTTCCAACAAGCCGGCCTCCTCTTCGTTCAAAGGCTCGTGCTTGATTCCATGATCTTCTGGTTTCGGGGGCGCAGGAGCTGGGGCTTGTGGCTGGGACTGTGTCTGAGCCTGTTGTTGCGCCTGCAGTTGAGCTGGTTGAGCTTGCTGAACCTGAGGCTGAGCGTGTGTTTGAGGTTGCGCGTGAGCTGCTGACGCTGGCTGGTGCTGCAAGAGGGGATGTGGCTGTGGTTGATGCTGAGGCTGATGTTGAGGTTGATGTTGTGCTGGCTGAGGCTGTATTGGCTTTTGCTGCTGTTGCTGCAGTGGAGTATGTGAGACATGCTGCTGTGGCTGTGGTTGAACTTGTCTTGGTGGTTGTTGTGGCTGCTGCTGCAGTGGTCGCTGCGTCTGCGGCTGGCCAGAATGCTGAAGCCGTTGGTGCTGCTGGTGCAGGGGTGTCTGACCATGCGCGGGAGCGGCTGGTCGTTGGTGATTGTGCAGTGTTTGCTGTTGCGAGTTTTGCGGTTGCAGTGACGGTTGCTGGCTTGGCTGCGGCTTCAATGGCACTTGATTCTGCGCATGATGAGGCGGCCTCGGTGCCACCTGTTGCATATGGTGCGGGTGTGCAGGCTGGCCAGATACGTGAGCCTTCTGACCAGCTTGAGCCAACTGAATATGCTGCGAGTTGTGCACAGAATGTGCTGGAGAATGGGCTGGTACATGACCAGACGCCGTCCTCTGCAGCTGAGCAGCATGTGACATGGTTGGGTGCGCGTGGCTGTGGTGAACCACTTGGCCAGGAACTCCAGGTTTCGAAGGTGACGGTTTTGGCTGAGGCCTTGCCGGATTGCCATTGTGTAGACTGCCCAAAGCCATGGTGGCACTGACGCGAGCCTGATCATCAGGATCTGATGTGAGCCTGGCCCGCTCCTCGGCCTCTTTCCTTGCAGCCTGTGTAGGTGCACGAGTCTTCAGCTCGCCCGTAACACACTGAAGGTAGTAGGGCATTTCCGAATTCGTCTTCAAGAAGAACAACTTCAAGTTTCGTGCCTTGTCTTTGAGTTGAACCTGCGTGCGGTCGGCGAGAATGGTGCTCATCCGCCCCTGTTGACCGAACAAACTCAAGATCTGAGACCAATGGGGACCTTTTACCATGTCCAGTCCCATCATTAGAGCCTTTTCTTCCTCGGGACTCCAAGGCCGTCGCGTTGAATGTGAGCCCTCTCTGCGAGCATGAGTGCTAGATCGTGCGGCTGCAGCTTGTCTGGCTCTCTCATATAGGATCTCTGAGGAAGCATGCTGACCTGGGGGTAGCTCGACCCTGTCTGAACCCTGTGCCTGTTGTACATTACCATTGGCCTGCTGAGAGTAGGCATAGTACTGCTGCTGTTGCGCTGGTTGTTGCGCTGCTTGTTGCTGTGGCTGATGAGACACATGTTGGCTAGTTGACGTTCCATTCGTGTTTTGCTGAACTGTCGTCGGGTGGTACTGATTCCGCTGCATGGTCTGCAAGGCCAGATTGGTGGCGCGCATGGCGCTCTCGCTCGTAGACAGAACCGCTGGAGACATTTCGGTCGAGCCTGAGCCTTGTGCTTGCTCGGATGCATATGATATAAGGGCAGCGAGATCTTCAGTCACGACATTGTTGGCAGTTCCATTCGTTCCTACAGCTTCTTGTGCGGCCTTTGCTGCTTCAGCGATAGCTGCATCGATATCGAAGCTATCAAGGCCGTTGACACCATCAAATAAGCCAGCACTCTCAGCATCAGCCGACACACTGGTTGGGCTAGATCCCAACTTCTCAATATTTCCCATGTGCTTATCGAGGTATGTGCTGAGCTCGTCCAGAAAAGCTTCATAGGTGTATTGCTGGCTCAAGGCCACTATTTCCCTTGTCAGTGACGTGCGAGCAATGCATAGAAGATGATTCACTTACGAATACTATTCTGATCATGGGACTCATTCAATAGCATTGCCTTTCTGGTCTCAGCATCAGCGAGAAATTTGCTCTCAGATTGAGCCAACGGTAAGTCGGGATGGTGTTTCTTGAGGGAGTCCTCTTGTCCGGTCACAAAGAGCTCTTCCAGTATTTGATGTCTGGGTTTGGACTGCTCAGACTCGAGCAGAGTCAAGAACATTTGCGTCTTGAGGCCAAGGTACAAATCAGCTTCCTCAGTAGCCATTTGCTGCCCCCCAGCCACAAATGTACTGAGAAAGCTCGTGTTCAAATCAGGCCAGCCGAGCTCATTAGCGCCAAACATGCTTGCGCACGAAGTAGCCAAATTAGCTATTCGGATAATCTCCCGATCTTCGGGGCTGCTGATGTCGAGTTGATCTGGATAAAGTAGAGGAAAGTCCTCTGACAATTGTTTCCGCAGGGAATCGAAGAAGGATCTTAGCAACACGTATTCCTTGCCCACAGTGCTGTTATCTGGGTCGTTGAGTGCTGTAATTGTGTCCTCTAAAGGTTGTTCAGACAGGGCTATGAGAATGTCAACAGCCACTTTGCCCAAGGTTGGCAGTATATATGTCTGTCGTGTGTATTGCGCCCGATTGCTCCATATAGTGGTCTTCTTTGGCGTAGCTTGGAGCGACGCAGACAAGTCCGGCAGCGTCAAAGAGTCGTTTCCACTGTCGTGGTTCAACAAATCCCCATTTGTGTCTAGATCTCCACCAGTCTCCAGGCCGTTGGTTATACTCGCCATGATGCTGTTCAAGTCCAGATCGTGATGAGCATGATCCTCGTCGCCGCCAATGCCATTGACGTCTGTGTGGAAATCGGAGGCGGGATGGTCCTGCGATACCTGATCTGCCAAGGCAGCCTCTTGAGCTGCTTGGATCATTTTGGTAATCTCGTCCATATCAGCTACATTGTCATGGTCTATGTCGGTCATCGGTTCGGTATCAGCAACTGGCGTCGGGTCCAGTTCTGTCGTCGGCTCTATGCCTAGGTCTGGTAGGGGAAGAGGATCAGATTTGGAAAGGCTCTGGTCATCAACGTCTATCTTTTGTCGTTTCTCGTTGCTTGTCTCTGCATCTTCATTCGGAGATCGAGCGCGCTTCATGGGCGAGGGAGGAGCAACTTCAGGCGAGACAGGCTCGGGCTTGATCTCCATCTTCACCTCGGGGCCTGGCAGATGACGAACGGGTTAGCACGACTTTGGAATGCTAGGGATACATGATTGAATGCTCTGGTTGATTGAAGTAGTGCAAAATATAAAGTCCTTCAGCCATTTAGGCCGTTGCTCGAGGAGTGCCTGCTTTGTACATACTCTTTGGAGGTTCTTGCTGTTCTTGCTGCTCCGGATGATCTGGTTGCTTTGGCTGCTCCGGCGGCTCTTGCGACGAAGCCGCCGCAGCTGCAGCTGCCGCCTCAATAGCAGCACTGAGTTCGTCCATGTCGCATACAAAGGGAAGAACAAGATCCGGTCATAGAGTGACCACCGGACACTCTCACGAAGAATGCGACGGCGTCGCTAATCGGGGGGCTGGGCTATTCGCTTGGGTGAAGGTAGATGGCGACCAAAAATTTGGACGGCATGCCGATCGCGATGCCCTGAAAACTTGCCCCGGCGATAAGATAAGATGCGATACACAAGTTATGGATTGAGATGTCCCCAGCACAAGTGAACCTGGTTTTATCGACTCGTAATTCGGCAATGAACCTTTATTGTTTTACCATAATATTGCGAGCGTTTCTGATTATTTTGTCAATGTCCTTTTCTTTTTTTTTTTGATTTCAAAGTGATTGAATGGATTGGCTCTGCAATACCTAGCCTTGGGTATAATGGGAGATTGTAAATTGCCATGCAAGCTAAGATAAGCAGAACAATTTAGTGGAGCAGAGGGGTAATGTCTAATCTGTGCTGGCCGTCTGGTACCTGAATGTCAGACAGCATCATATTCATACCTAGCTACAATACATTACCCACTTCCTAGTACATCCACCAAACAAATGTCACAAAACCAACTGGGTACTATCATGAGCTCTGGAAATTACGCGTGGGCTTGTGTTGTTAATTATTTCAAAACATGCGGAGGAAAAAAGCTCTGCAATCACTGATATACTGTACCAGGCACTTTAATGAACTAGGGAAAAAATTTGGCCCTAGCATTATCAGAGTCTTCTTGGTGACAAGCAGAGCGGCTGGTCCACTGTTCGTACTGCTATACGGAGCACCAGAGGCCAAACTGTTGAAAGCCCCCGATTTTGCCCTATACGCTCACCCTACCGTGGCTATAACAAGAAAATCATGATAAATTATAACATTGAAAAAAAATAAGAAATAAGAATTTAAAAAAAAAATAATTTTTTACTTTTATTTTTATTTTTTTATTTTTTTATTTTCTTTTTTCTTTCTTTTTCTTTTTTTCTTTCTTTTTCTTTCTTTTCTTTCTTTTCTTTTCTTTTTCTTTTTCTTTTCTTTTCTTTCTTTCTTTCTT